ATATTTGTGACGGAATTTCCTATGCAGAGATTTTAGAGTGAGCATACTAAACCGTTTTAGATTGAAAACTTGCCATGGACTTCAGTTATAGAGGCACCTGTAATGGTGACGTATTTTGAGTGATCAAACATTGTGTATCTGGTGAGACGACGGTTGTGGTAAGGGTAAAAGTTGAACGTTGCCAAGCGCTCAGCGCTCAGCCTTCGCTGTCACAAAGTCACCGTGACCTTGCGTGACATGAGTTATAATCGCGTCCGTTCACAGTAGCCATTTTTCCCTTCATTTCTCGCTTCATTTTTGACATTATATCTACAAAAACAAAACAAAAATGGATCAAAAATGGCTCCCTATCATGTTGTGTAGTTTCAAGTTCAATTAGTCCATGAACGTATGTACGTATTTACAAAAACATCATTGTCCTTCATCAATCCAAATCAATCAAGAATACTGCACCACAAACCCAGCATCAAACACGCCTCCAACACTAACATCCAAAACCTTCCTCTCCGCATCCCACTCCCACCCCGCACTGTCCTTAACCTGCCCATTAACCAACACCTTCCCCGGCTTATTGGGCACACCCAAAAACCTAACCCTCTTGACTTGAACGCCAACCGCATACCCAAACGTCCCTCCAACATTCAACGTACACGGTGAATCCCCAAACCGCATCCAGACCTCCGTCTTCGTCAACGGATCAACCGACTCCCCATCATCCACATAAAGCCTGCCCACCGCCCTCCCATCCACCCCAGGCGCAACCACAAACTCAAAATCCTGCTTCCGAACCTCGCTTGTCGTCATTCCCGATTGGGCACGCAACGGAAGAACAACACCGCCCCGTATATGAAGCGGTATCTCCGTAAAAGGGACGTTATCCAATGTGAGGAACGCCCCCTGCCCATGCACAGGCTCAAGCGTCTTGAAATCGTAGAATGTGTCTTTGGGTAGGTATATCCTGACGGACGTCGCTTCGTCTTGTGTTACGGGTGACACGAGTATCGAGTCCCCAAAGAAGAATTGGTGGTCTATCCCGTAGGTGTTGGTGTCTTTTGGGTATTTGAACCATAGAGGGAGAACGACAGGAGAGCCGTCTGTGTGAGCGTGGTGGAAGGCGGTGTAGATGTAGTCGAGGAGGCGGTACCTGGTTTGGGGGTGAGCTAAGTAGTGAGGAGAGGAGGGGGGAAAGGGAACAACAAACCGAATATCCAAGGCGTTCTTGGCTGCTTGTGTTACGCTGGGCCAGATGTAGAATTCTTGGCTTATCGATGTGTCTGCGTTATGCTGGACAAAGAAAGGGCCATCAGCATTGAGGATCTCATCATATCAAAGAAGAAAACCGTACATTACGCATAAACGGATAAAAAGCACCCAACGCCGCCCACCTCGCACACAGCTTCTCCGTCGTATTTTCCGCTATACGCAAGCAACATCAGCTTTCTCTCCTCTACGCGAAAGAGGGGACTCACCAAACCCACAAATATCACTCCCAACCATCGGAACCTGATAAACCGCCGTAAACCCAAGCATACCCGCGATCGAAAACCGATAGTGTTCCCAATCGCTAAAATTATCACCCAACCATTTGCCAACGCTCCGCCCTGCACCAGCAAACGTTGAGCGCGTGATGATGAGGGTGCGTTTTCCAGGTCGCCGGGCGAGCATGGCGTTTTGCGTTGCGCTGGACATCATGGACCCAAAGAGGTTGTGCGCGTTGTATTCTGTGAGACCGTTGATGTGTTTTGCGTTTGTCTGCAGGATAGTTAGATTGACCTATCGAAGAACAAAGCGAAAAAGAGATAAAACGTACCCAAGACGTCTTGCTGGACAGCGCACCAGCAGCGTTATTAATCGCATAGGGCGGGTTCAAAATGTCCTCATCACGTTTCTCGTTCTGGGCCGTGATCTTTTGGTTCACAAAGATTGGCGTATCGTGCGCTGGGGGAGGGTTAGCGCGTGGTGGTGGGAGGTTCTGCTGAATGGCTTGTTGGAAGGGGTCGTCGCATGGGAGGTTACAGAACTGTCGGTGTTATCACATGAGTGGAAATACGATGAAAAAAAGAGGGGAAGAGCCCGTACGTTAGCGGGCTCGTTCATGTCAATCCAAGCTCCGTCAATGTCGAGTCCCGTACTTGGGTTGTAAAAAAGTTGGAATTCATTTGTCCAGTACCTAGTCGAAACACACTGAGCAATTTGAGCAGTGGCCGGCTGAAGAGGTTTACCCTTGAATATCTGGGTGGAACCAATCCGGGTATACAGTAACGCCTTTTCTTAACTATAAGCGCGCATATAAGGATACAAAAATGCAAAACAAACCAGGCCACACAAGACCAAGGCTCGGCTTGCCATCAGGGCCTTTCAACCAGACATCGGCCGCCTCTCCTCTATTGTAAGGAGCGTAGTCTTGATTTGGGAGGTAGGCCACGGCGGGGTCGGTCATCAGAACTGTGTAAGATATGTCAGTCTTTATTGTTGGAAAGCTGAAAAAGAAACATACCGTATCTCTGCTGGTGGGTGTGGAGGTAGTCTATGATTTCGCGCATCCGGTCAAGGGGAAAGTAGTCCGGATCGACGGTGAAGATGCGGCGTTTGTACATATAGTCTAAAAAACCGTCGTCAGACTTGTTTTGCAAATCAGAAAGGAATCGACATACCAATGTCAGTCCACATGGTTTCAAGAGGGATACCAGCAGCTGCATATCTTGATATAACGTTCGCGACATCAACAAAGTCTGTACAACAAAGGTAAGTCTCCCTTCAAAAGAAAAAAAAAGGAGCGCATATACTCACTCTGATACCCAAACCGACACTGATGGAACCCAAAAGACCAATACGGAACTTCTGCAGGCAACCCCGCCACCTCCGCGTACTGCCTTGCCACCTCACCAGGGTCCTCCTCACTCCCAGCAAAGAAGTAAAAGTCCAATATCCCGCCAATAACATTATACTCCAACGCCGTGCCGCCAGGCCCACTATTCGTGATCTTGACATCCATCCCATTCGAGTTGAGCAGAAACACGCCGTGGGTACCTGTCGTCCTATGTTCGAAATACACCGGATGGTTCCCATATAGATTCGTTCCGGTGGGCACGCCGTACGCATCGCGGGACCACATTGTAAGCGTCGTGTTGTCCGTAGGAAGGCGGAATGGGTTAGTGTGCTCGCCTAATCCATAGATGTTCGCGTTGTTCGGGAGGTTAGTTTTAACCCGCAGATATTGTGGTTCGAAGATGATAGGATGTGATGCCGTGGAGAACAGAACTTCGCGTGTTGAGGCGCGGTAGATTGAGAAGGAGAAGGGAGAGGCGGTATAGTTGAACTGGATGTTGGTGGTATGGTGTGATTGGAGGTATTTTCCTTTAGGCCGAGGGAATACCGATTCTGGGACTTCGTATCGGGGTGAGGAGGCGTCCGTGATACGTAGATGTATCCTGTTCACTGTACATTTCAGTCAGCCACGTACAGAACGCCGCCCCACAAAGGAAACTCACCAGTCTCGTACTCAACGCTCAACGACAACTTCTGAATATCGTTCCCGAAGACGTTGCATGGCTTTCCCGCCAGAACGAGGGTCGCGGTGAACTTGGTCCCACTGGCGGTTACGTCGGTGGCGTTGTATCCTGGACACGCATCCAATACGTTTGGATCAACGAAAGTCGCGTCGACGACGTGTGGGAGGAGCGTCGCCGCTAGGGCAACGACGGAGGGCCCTAGAAGGCGGGGAAGGAACATGGGGGTTAGGCGGAGAGTGTTGGTGGCTGGTTTCGTGGGTTTATATATGTTCTCATTTCGCGCGTTATTCGGCTGGGGTATTCGGCTCGAAAACTGTCCGCTGATTTGGTAGCATGTCGTTATATGCGCTTCGCGAGCTTCTTGACTGTTGTAGAAGTCATTGTTTGAATTTGATTATGATGGAATTTTTTCATTGCTGACACTGTTGAACGTTGAGCCGTGACCTTGAATTCTAACCACGTTCATCGATACAGTTCACCCCAATTTCACCTGGATGGCGTCGTTCATTTTCTAATGCCAAATAGCTTGGACAAGGGATTTTTACAATAACTGCATGAGGGCTCGGTAAAGATCTGACAAGAATCCTGACTAACAGCGTTGTAGAGCGTTGTTGTCTGGGATTTGAAGTAGGCAAGTCGTACTCTACATTGTGATGCGACGAAACAAATTTAAAGTACTCATTCGGGGGTTTGCCCTGATACTAGGTTGACCTCGACCCACTCCATCATCTATCATTCTAAAAAGAAGACAGCTTGTTGTCGATTGGTTTATGCTCAGTCTCCATCAAGCCTGCAATAAAGGCAAGTCAATCGGGATGGTGCAATGAATTCAAACAAAGCTAAGCTTTTTCCTTTACACGGTGTTCTCATTATCCCATATCAATTTCTCGATAAAGGCAAACGGAACCCAAACCAAAGCAAGTGTCGTCTATTCGCCGAAAGAGTCTCCAGCGAACCGAGGCTCTGTGCGTCCGTCATATTACCAATTGGTTGTCAACGATGGCACACCGCAACCCGCGTCCGAAAGCTGTCAGTAGCATTTGCCACAGGAACCCGCTTACCCATTTTCCCCGTGTACTGATGAAGTTATCGAGTGCAACAAGCTGCGAAACTCCACTCGTTCCTTGAACACATAACTGAAGCATCCTACATCGGTAGTGTTGCAGATGTGATATGAGGTGTCAAAATTTTAAACCGTGTCACACAACAACCTAGAAATTTCTCGATACAGATATTCAAAACTCCCGATCGGGTTTGGGGTGTGTGGTCATCCACATCCAGGCTCATGAAAACCCTGCCCCTTCCCCATCCATCTCCCATTGACCACATCAAATTTTACATTAATCTCTATTCCAAGAACAAATCGAGACGCGACTACTAGCTTTATACCCAGGCACATAACCCGCACTACAAATTATAGTCATACACCATGATGCAGCGACGCTGAATTCCTCTCTCGACCTGCCCCAACAACAATACCCTCAAGCCTCAAGGACCCCCATGACGCGAATAAGGCTTCATTATCTTCTTCTTCGCCTGATTCTCCCTATCCTTCCTCAGTTTCTCGATGTATACAAACGTCACCACAATCAAATCAAGCATATGTTCGCCCTCCGGAAATATCTCTAGCGAAGCGGGACGTGCGTCCGTCACCACTCCCAGCCGTCGACGGTGGTACACCGCAACTCGAGTCTCCTTCCCATCAACGTCCATCACGAGCTATAATGACGACGTTGACTGGATATCCAAAGAACGTGTGATAAACGCACTCACCTCCGGAACCCGCCTACCCATCTTCCACTTATACACCTTCCCATCCGGCGCTGTGAACGTCCTATCCCTTCACTCCCAGTCAATACACCACTCACTGCACCATCTGTTTTGAAGGAGAGGGGGGCAAACTTACCTCCCAAAAGCCCCCCACTCACTCGTCTTCGTAAAATACTGACTCGTAACAACCTCCCCACCTCCATACCTTATCCGACTCGACATAAACTGATTATATTCCACCTCTCCAAGATGCGCGAACCGGTCTTGTAGATCGTCCTCCGACGCATTGGGCATGATCTTGTGAATGCTTACGTCCCGTCCGAGCATCTTCCATGGGGAGGATGTCTTGTAGAAGGCTTGTCCTTGTTCGTTGGAGTATGTGGCGTTCCATGGTTCGTTGGTGGATAGGATCAGGTGCATTGTGATAGTGGTGGTTTGTGTTGAGTTGCGGCGGAGTCGTCAATTGCAGCTCATGCGCATACTTATATATGTCTGGACGACGTCGACGGCACATGTTGCGCAGCTTATGCACTCGCTGCGGTCATCAGTGGATTCTGCCAAGGTCTTCTGGAACGCCAAGCCTGTGACTGTGGATCCTCAGCACCAATCTCCGTCTGTTCTCCGTCCTTTTGTGTTTTTTGGACTTGGCGGTCTTGTCAGTTATGTCGACGATTGCTACCACAGCTCACGCGTCTGGTACCCATCACTAAGCAAAACCTTCGGGGCAGTCGCGTCGACGCGGACATCAACAGAGGAAACTTCTCGAATGTCGAAGGCTACCCGACGCTGCATGCGCAGTACAGGACGTAATACTAACAACCTAACGAGCATTTTCTGGTTTACACATCATCCAACCCCCTTCCCTCCCCGCGCCTTCCGAGTCTATGTTTCTGTCACCATGTGCTGTGACTGGTTGTCTCTATCCATTCTGAGTTTTTCAATATACACGAACGTTACCACTATAAGGTCGACCATATGTTCAGCCTCTGGAAGTATCTCCAGCGAAGGGGGGCGCGCTTCTCGCACAACTCCAATTCGTCCACGTCGGTATATGGCAACCGGTCTCTCGCTTCTGTCATTCGTCACAAGCTGTTATGGCGTCAAATGCAGAAGCGCTACACACAGTGAAGTATTTACCTCTGGAACTCGCATCCCCAGCTTCCACTTATACTCTTTCCCATCCGGCCCTGTGAAAATTCGACCTCTTGGCCTCCAAGTCAACCACATCTTCTCAAGTCGTTATCAAGTCGAAAAACTCACTTCCCAAGATCCCCCCACTCCTTCGTCTTTCTAAAATACTCACTCGTGAGCAAATCATCACCCCCATATCTTATCCGACTCGGAGTGAATCGTTTATACTCCACCTCCGCGAGATGCGCAAACCGGTCTTGCAGATCCTCCTCCGACGCGTTGGGAATAATTTTATGGACGCTTATTTTCCTGCTGAGCACCATCCGGGGCGATGATGTCTTATAGATTGGTTGCCCTTCTTCGTTGGCGTACGTCGCGTTCCACGGCTCGTTACTGGATAGGTATAGATGCATGATCGATGATGGGGTTGACCTTTACTTCTGCCCATATATACTGGACAGCCAACGGACAGCATTACCTGTTACTCCGTACGCTGTGTAGCAGTTGTTCACCTCTTACCTTTGCTGCGCGATCATCACTTGATCGTAGTGGAGCGCCAAGCGGGCCTGCGATTTGTGGGCTTCTGCATTTCTGCATTTGCTTCGCATTCATATTGATTCTTATCAGATCTTTGCTTGGAGACTCCAAACTCAACGACACGGCCTCACGGCATTCGTTTGGCATGGCCTACTTTCGGACATGTGTTGCAAAGTGGCTGGCCAATCATCTCGGAATTGCGAAAACGAGAAGTTTTATGTCAGCCGGGATTGATTGATGATTTTTCCGAAGGTCTTGATCATCAAGCTAACATCAAAAGCCAAACGTTGACGTCAATGTCCACATTGCCACCGCACTTGACTTGGTGGATGGCGTTGTTAACTTTCTACTTAGTAAGGTGTGTGGACCATGTGGCTGCGTCATATAATCTTCACCATCTCATACAGACATTTGTCTCGTAACTCCATGACCGTCAACCAGCCAAACCTTCTGGCATGGATCTCCCCTGGTTCTCCCTATCTTTCCTGATTTTTTCGACATACACGAATGTCACCAAAATCAGGTCGACCATATGTTCGCCTTCTGGAAGTATCTCGAGCGAAGTGGGTTGTGGGTCGTTATATCGTCGACGATGGTACGAGGCAACTCGTCTGTTACTCCCGTCGCCCATGACGAGCTGTAATGATATCCACCAGTTATCAAAACAGGTGCGTCATCAATGCGACGCTACCCGTACCTCGGGCACTCGAATTCCCATCTTCCATATATACCTCTTCCCGTCCGGCGCTGTGAAAATTTTACCGCTTTTCTCCCAGGTCACCTACTCCTCCAATTGTCCGCCGAGTAAAACTCACCTCCCAAGAGCTCCTTGCCCTTCTGTGTTCCTGAAATACCGACTTGTACTCCAGTCCTCCCCTCCGTATTTTATCCGGCTCGATGTAAACAGGTTATACTGCACCTCCGCTAGGTGATCTTTCAACTCGACGTTTGTTGAGTTGTGAGTGATCCTGTCGATGATCACTCTTTTGCCGAGCGACCTCCAAGGCGTAGACGTCTTGTAGATTGCTTGCCCCTCCTCGTTGGTGTACGTCGCATTCCAAGGTTCTCTGTTGGACAGGAACAGATGCATGGTACGTGATGAATTGTAGCGCCAGGCGCCAACGTGCGCGCTGCTAAGCACAGCCCTGGTGGTGCAAGGTGATCACAACTTCGCCTCGTGGTCCAAGCAAGGTTTTGGGTTTAGTGTCGCGGTACTTGATATTGAGGTGGCATTATTATTATCTGACAATTATAACCTAGGATATAGGACATTATGCGAAGCAAATGGGGTTAAACCCTCTCAAGAACCACCTCCGCCTCGGGTCCTCTGCGCTTCTTCCTCTTGCCTCAACCTCTCCATGTAGATGAATGTCACTACGATCAAATCAACCATGTGTTCTCCAACTGGAAAGATTTCTAGATATGCGGCGTGGGCGGGGGATAAAATTCCCAAACTGCTGCGGTGATAGCAGGCGACAGGGGTATCGATGCCGTCATTCAAAAAGAGCTATCCACGAAATCTGAGTTTGACTCGAATAGCAAAAAGGAGCGACGTACCTCTGGAACATGGACGCCCAACTTCCATCTATATTCTATTCCGTCGGGCCCAGTGAAGAATCGTCCTCTTATCGAGTCAGTCACATTGGTAATCGCATCCCGTCGAAATCACTGACCTTTGTCGTCCGCGCCACGACCAGGCACCTTTTCTGAAAAAATCTCTCGTCACCAGATCCTGGCCTGCATATCGAATGTGGCTCGATGAGAATACTCCATAGTCCACTTCCGCAAGGTGAGCAAATTCATCGCGCATGTTCTCTATCTCTTGGCTTGGGACGATACGTTCGATGCTGGTTTTTCTCTCGCAGATCTTCCATGGCGTAGTCGTCTTGTAGATGGCTTGGCCATCTTCTGTGGTATAAACGCTGTCCCATGGTTTTCTCGTTGAAAGGTAGAGACGCATGTTTGCATCTGCTACGGCTTCAAGTCTTTTGCGATCGGAGACGAAATAAAGTCTATATATATACTTGGTACAATGTCTTGGCTTGTGAGCACTGCCGGGACATATAAATACGCACAGCTTATACTCTTAGCTGTGGAATCCACTTCGTTGCTGTGAAGAGACCTAATCGGCTAGGATTCTGAGCTGCCACTTAATGTTAGTCCGCCTGACTCGGATCTCTATCGAGGCCCACGATGCTTGCACTCCACATCTGATTATTTGTATTAGGATCCGACTACAGCAATACATGGACACTTCCGTTCGATAACACGGCGATAAGCCCAAATGTCAAGCGATATCGTCCATTTCCGTCTTTCGCGGAAATTACATGTTCCGCGCCGCTTCACTCGCATTTAACCCCCCTTTGAGAATTGAAGCGCGAAATGAACTCAACATTTTTTTTGCATTTTTTGATATGTAGACCACTCAACTTACTACGTTCATTGAAAGTGACGTTATTCGCATTCCAGGTCTCTGTGCATATAAGTACCGACTTGGAGTAAATTTGTCACAACCCTTCCCAATTTACATATGCGCAAGCCCGACATGTTGTGTGGGCGCCACCCCCAGCCATAGAAATGCAGTTGATGCCCATTGGCCATCAAACACTGCACTCCTAATTTGTCTTTGCCATTGTTCTTCTCTACCTCAAATTTACTGCCTCACGTTCTAAGGTTACCTCTCTTTTCCCAAAGCCGCAGTTGTGCCAGCCTTTTTGCAATCGGCTGTAAAAGGGACATTATACCCAGTAGGTATATAAGCTAAGGTCCGTGTCAATTCTATGATCCCGCCACGCAGAGTCATCCTCTACATCCACCCCGTATTTCCTCAATGATTTGAACCACTTTATGCTGTCCGCGTGCATGTGTGCGGTGTCTTCGTCAGCGGACAGACATATTTTTCGGAGGGTTTGTGCAGAATGCGAATGCGAGTGCACAGCACGCAAACCCGGTTGCGAAGACGACTGCCAACCCAACCGCGACGTGATCATCTCCACGAATAGTTGATAGTCCTCCGGATCCATACCATCACAATCCATATTCAGCACCTCTAAGTTCGGGACGAGGAGATAGGACGTGATAGCCCGGAGTATCGCGTCCGAGATCGGCTTTACAGTAGGTTGCCGGGGATGAATGTGGATGCGTAATATTTTGACGGCGGTGCCGATGTGCTCCAAGGCGTAGAGTAGTTTGCTGGGGCTGATAAATACATTGATCATTGAGAATTCTTCAATGGAGCAAGAGGACTGGTCGATGAAACGTTGAAAGCCATATCGAGACCACTGCTTCTCCCCTTCGATGGTGAGTTTTCGGAGAGAGGGGGTGGTGAGGAAGTAAAGGAGGTTCCAGATCGTGTTTCGCGCTCGGATATTCAGCGTGTGCAAATGTGGAAGAGTGAGTTCTGGCACGTATGGATGCAAAAGCACCCGATCATCAATGAGGTGGAACTCGCAGTCGCGGATGTTCGGACATGTCTGAAGAATCTGCAGTACATACCGCGCAGCCGTCGCGTTGAGCGTTAATGTGTGCAGCCGTGGGGAGGAAGTCCAGATCATGGGTACCACGTCACCTAGATCTCTGAATCCCAGATCGGACATTTGAAGATCAACGACGCTACCAGGCGGGAAGTACAGCTCGAGGTTTTCAAGCATCGGAGAAAGCCCTGTAGAAACATCACCCTTGAGAGGTAAGAGACAGTCATAGTGAAGAAGGTCGCGGAGGCACATGTGCACAGATTTCCAGCGTGAAAGGTGTTGGAAGAATAAGCGGATTAACGACCACACGTCATCAGGCCTCGGATCGCATCCCAGGTCGGTGTCAAACGGTAAGCAAATTGATAAGGGCATGGGTTTGGATCGCTCCAGCCATAATTCGGCAAGCGGAAAGGCTGGGCTGCACGTCCCAGTGCTGAAGCGCCGTACTTTTAAAGACGCCCAGAGAAGTGGGAGTGGGAGTGCTGCGTCCCGCCAATACTTACATATTTGGCATAGGAGTAGTGGTGCAGTGTTAGGATTGGCTTCTATGAAGCCCTCAGGAAGGCATGCGAGGAAGATGGATTGCAGGATCTCTAGGGGGAGGCGGCCGATGGGGGAGAGGAGACAGTTTTCGTAAGCTATGCGCTGTCGCGCGTCGGCCAGATCTTTGACATATGACGCTGGGGGTGATTTGAGCCATGAGACGTGCTTGATGTCGTCGGAGAGGTGCTGGGTAATTACACCCGCGTCGAACATGTGCCCTTTTTCAGCGTGGAATCTCCAGGTTTCTGAGGGTATATATTCTGTATTCGAAGGGGGTAGAGTTAGAAGGAGTTGCGGTAAGGAGGGGAAGTGTTTCAAGCTGTCGTTGACGTTATCGTTCATCGTTAGTGTCGAATGGTCAGGTTGGCGTAAGCAAATCACGAGGGAGTGGTAGCGATCAATCCGTCGCAGCACCGCCTCCACGTCCTCACCTCCTTGCCACCATCCGCAGCCGCAGCCTCACTGCTGTATATATCGACGCCTATCCTACCTTGACTTTCCAGTTGCCCACCTCGCTGAAGATGCTTCTTCTTGACAAGCAAAGTCCTGGATCCTCTGGCGCTACGGTACCAATATCGCTTTCAGGGCCAGACAAGTTCTGAGTTCCATTTGCAGGACAGGACCGACAAACCCCCGCCTTACATGGACATCCCGAATGTACCTGAACCTTCCCGTTCAAATGGGAATGCGCTGGTTCAAGTTCGTCATGCGGTTGGGATGCTTGCTCCGCCTCCGACGGTGAATCAAGTTCATCTTGAGGCTCGCAACGAGCCTATCTCTGGTGTGTACTTCACTTTCTGTCTGACGTATTCAAAGGCCAATTCATTTTTGACAGGGACTTTCTACATCGACCCTCAAATACCCAATTCAAGTCTGGGGAAAAAGAAGAAGTCGAAATGCGGAAAACATGCATCAGATGCTTCGTTTCGGTCGCATAAAGGACCGATATCACTAGAGCTCGCAACGACGGGGAGTGTCAGTAGGACCCAAAGGGCCACCGTGAACGTCACCACTCGTTCTGGTGATGTATCTATAAATTTGGTGCGTCAGACTTCAGTATCGACTCCCGACTACCTTCACCAACGCTTTGGTAGCTGCCAATTCATCCTTCGCAACCACGCATGGGACTTGATGTTTACTCTCGCAAAGGTATGCTAATACCTCATTGACTTATCGATCTCATGACTAACTATCCTGGAAGGCAATACATTGCTTTATATACCTCCAACGTTCTCAGGGGTGATTCATCTCACAACACGGAAAGGGGAGCTTACGATGCTTCCTCGTTTGTCGGCCTCGATGAAGATCTTGAAATCGACAAATAAGGAGGTTCTGGTGATGGTAGGATCGCAGTCTGTAGATTCAACAGGGAACGCGCCCGTTGCGGATCTTTGTCAACTCAAATCTCACTCGGGAAACATCGTTGTGGGGTTGGCTGGTCAAGACAAATATTCTCCTCCTGTTGGGTTTTGGAAAAGGATGGGAGAGTTTTTTAATGCAGGACTATAACGAGTTTACTAATAAATCGATATCCATCACCACCATATATATGTATTATGTGCATGTTTTTCTCTAGAGTTTTAGTGTAATTGCTCTGCATGAGCAGAACGGTGATCCACCAACCCGTTTGAACTATTTCATTCGGATTCGAAGATGAATCACGTCGAAAGAAAGGGGTAGCGATTCGAGGTGCGCTTCGTAACTCTGTAGCTTTCGCAATAACTGTAGGATCCAAGATATGTACCAACAAAATACAAGTCAATCAAAATTTTCCGAGGCCTGGGGAGTCGCCATTCTGCATGGCACTATGAAGTCGTAAGTCCTCCTAAGTTCAAGCCCACAATTTTAAGGATATGTCGGTCAACAAGTCCATCTCTGGGACTCTGTAGTTATCAAAGGTAATGTTGATGGAAGGGGCTGGATCGAGGAAGGTGAACAATGGGGCAGCGGCTGAGGACCCCCAGCAGGGCCAATCAATCGAAGATAACAAGCTCTGAGGATTCTTGGTATTCGGGTCGAGCGTATTTGCAAAGTTGACTTGAGGGTTTTCAGTGGCGCGGTCCAGAGGGTCGGGAAAACACTCACTAAGCGCATCTGCGCCAATAAAATCAGGCTCTGTACCAACGCCATAAAATTCTGCAAGATCAGATCCGTGTAATGCGCCTACAGTTGGCGTAGCCTTTCCACGTTTATACACTAAAATTCCCAGCAGTGAGCAGCTGATAGTAAACATATTGAAAGGAAACATACGCACAGAATGCGAATGTTGGTTGCGTCTTGGATGCTATTTTCAAGAAGAATCTTCGAGGGACCTGGAAGAATAGGTCACCTTGTACGGCGGAGAGACGCTTAAACTGGGGGCTGTAGAAAGCAAGTCAATCGAAAGTCCCAACGACAACGAGCAGATGCGAACGTGATTGCGTTTGCTGTCTCTGTGCCGAACGGGGATCCCTGTTATGTGCTGTCGTGTTAATTCCAGGCTACTATGATGGATAGTTTGTCCGAGCGCACCTGAGCTGGATCCTCAGGATAGGCTTTCGCGATGGCAGCCAATTGATCGTCAGAAATTCCAGAAAGGTAACTATCTTCGAAAGTTAAGGAACCGATGTTCCTACGAAGGTGATGACCTTACTTGTATTTCATGTAGCCGAGGAATTCTTCATTCATTCTGTTCGTTCACGTCGTTAATAGAGTATGCTTCGAAGGAGAAAATAGACCAACGTGATATTTTTGTTACTCAATGAGAAGAGGCTAAGCAGAATCAACTCTGGGTTATTGGGAGGCAATGTGGTAGAAGCACATAACTTACGTTCCCTCGTCATCGCAGTCGCCCGTGACAAATGGCACCTATGTTCGGTAAATCAATTCTTCGCTTTTGTACACTATCATTTTTTAGAAATACCTTAGCGTATAGACCCTTGAGCAGGGAATCTTGGGGGTCGCGTTTGAAAAACAACCCATCTTTGGAAGGTCCCCACACGAGTGCCAGGCTCTGATAAGAAAATAAATTGGGAGACTGGTTTATAGCATCCCCGAGTTTGTCAAACGGAACGGTGCGTAGGCAGGCTATAGGGTCAGCAGAACCTTGACACCCGGCATCCACAACAAGTTGGTCAAAGTACCGCTGGTTGACGGTAATATCATTCAAGGCGGCGGGAGAGCCCGATTCCTGCATGCTGATGAATACCCGATCCATATTACTGGAGGATCAAAGCCATACCATGAATGCCCCGCGGAAAAGGCCTTGCGTATCTCCGTTGTTGGTGACAATTTGGTAGCCCGCAGAAAAAGCTCCTGCGCTCTCACCCCAGCTTTGAGGAACCAAATCAACATTCAAAGAGAGGTGTAAAGTTTGTGACGTACATTATCACTTTTTTCGGGTCTCCTCCAAAAGCACTAATGTGCTTTTGAACCCATTGGAGAGCAAATCGTTCTAGCAAGATGAGATTATGAAAGAAGAAAAAATTTCAAACAGTCGACTCACGGTCTCTGAGACCTATATTTCCTAGTCCAGCTGCCTTGGCTTCTTTTCCTTGCAAAAACCCAAAGGCTTCGTTGCGCAAAGGGTGAGTTGTCTGAAATACACGAGACAAACGGGACTGACCATTCAGGCGGTAGTTGGCCGACACGTATATCACTGGTTCGCCCAACGTAACTGAGCGAGCTACGAGCGGATCTGCTTGGTATGAAGAACTACCCCCAACCTGATAGCCGCCTAGAAGACATTGAGTTTACGGCGCTTTTCGCAGACGGGACACTTGCCGCCGTGAATCCACTGGTCAAGTACCTCAGAGTCGAAAGAGCTCGACGGAAATGGTGACGTACAAAGATGACCGGGAGCTTCTTTCCGGCGGGGATGCTCGCCGGTTTGAACACATTGATGGAGAGGCCTAGACAGGGTCGATGAGCTTGAAACCACAAATCTACGGGAATATGGTAAAAGGGCGAGCTTACAGTCTTCAGCTATTACAGAGGGTTGGGGGAAATTAGTGCTGGTGGATGACAAGCCTTGCGCGGATGCGCCTAGCGACTGTTGGAAACAAGCAGCTCCAAAGGTAGTCGCCTGTCGAACGCCTTTGAACGGAATTGGTGCCTCAGCGGGGGCGAATCGTAGATTCCCAATACTTGATAGAGGGGTATGAGTGACCGTTGCCAAAACAAATGGGAATGACGCACGGTGGTGCAGCGAACGGAATCCCCAAAAACTTCACTGAGTTTCCAGTCAAGTTTCCCTTGAACGACCCATAATGCAATGTAACGATTGGACCTTGGGCTGCTGTGACTGCCGCAGTAAGCTGGAAAGGAAAAACAAGGAGCAAGGGCAAAGGCAGAATCCTAGTTAGACGAGCCATGATGACGCCTATGGGAGGATCATACAGCAGTTTAAATCATGAACACGCGTCCAATTTAGCTCAGAGGCACTGCTATGGAGTCATTTCGAAGTTCGAACCTGTCTATCGCTCCCCATATGGAACGCATATGTCACCCGGGCGTTGACTAACTTGGTTCGTGGGCTGTGAGTCGTTGAGCTACCCCGTACATCACATCCGACCCGCCATGACCGCAGAAGACGGCGGGGCATACTATGCCCTATCAGTACTTCGGCAGACCCTCTCAGTCGGCACTTTCCTGATCTCGAACTTTCCACAAAATTTCTTGCCACAAAATTTGAGACAGGGCCTCCTGCGTATAATCCAACCTATCTCCGCTTTTTTTCGTCTAAAAAAACGAAGAATTGGCGAAGTTCTGTTTTTTGGCCAGTCACGATCTGTCACGTTCATCCGCCAAAAAATGTGACATTTGTGACCGCCGACTGAGAGGGTCTGCCGAAGTACTGATATAGCATAGTAGTAGCGTGAAGGGGCTTCCGCAGTCCGTTCTACCCTCCTTATTGATCGGGGTTAGAGAAGACAGCGATTGAAGTATCAGAAGCATCTGCCAGAAACCGTTATGAGTTCCGTACAAGCCGCTGACTGCCGCTGATGAAAACTATGTGGGTTACATTCTGCGGCTGGTCCTGAACTGGACCCGTAGAACCAGATTTTCGCATTCTAAGTCAGGTGAGGCAGGAGAAAGAAACGACTGTTGCAGTTCCTCACCTAAACAACAGTGAAATTTGGGCCATTCAATGGGAAGTCCACGCCGGAACCAAGTGCCATTAGTAATACAAAGCGATCGCACAAAAAACGTATTCACCTCAAAACAGTCCAAAACAAAGGTGACCACCCAACGAACACCACTGGTGTTGAGTCTGGACTCTGGGTTTCGATCTACCACTCACGGTACATATACTACACAGTGACTTTTGTGTCCCTTTATTTCTTCCCGTGAACTGTGAGTTAATATCATAATCATATGTAGATTATGTTATAGAAATTTTGTTAAGTAAAACTGTTCCAGTGGTGTTTTAATCGTCTGCGTGAAGTTCGAACTGCAAGTTGGTATCTTGAACTGATATTATGCTGTTTGCTAAAAATATTGAACTACTCCGAGAAGTGTCCAGCATAGGGACATACCTGGATTTGAACCAGAGTTGCACTGTATGGTTTACAACAGGCAACTAACAACACTTCATTGTGAAACTCACCGTTCCCGGTTGAATTATTTGGTTCGGATTCGCAGATGAATGTAGGTTTCGCAATAACTGTATTCTCAAGATATGTACCAACAAAATAAAAGTCAATCAAAATCCTCCAAGGTCTGGGGAGTCGCCACTACGTCCCAATGGCACTATGAAGCCGTAAGTGCTTGTGAGTTCAGGCCCACAATTCTAGGGATATCTTAGTTAACAAGTCCATCTCTTGGACTCTGTAATTATCTAGGGTAATGTTGATGGAAGGGGCTGGATCGAGGAAGGTGAGCAATGGAGGCGCAGCGGCTGAGGACCCCCAGCAGGGCCAATCAATGGAAGATAACAAGCTTTGCGGATTCTTGGTATTCGGGTCGAGCGTATTTGCAAAGTTGACTTGAGGGATTTCAGTGGCGAGGCCCAGATGGTCGGGAAAGCACTCACTAAGCGCATCTGTGCCAATATAATCAGGCTCTGTACCAAAGCCGTAGAATTCTGCAAGATCAGATCCGTGGAATGCGCCTACGGTTGGAGTAGCCTTTCCACGTTTATACACTAAAAGTCCTAGCAGTGAGCAGCTCATAGTAAACATATTAAAAGGAAATATACGCACAGAATGCGAATGTTGGTTGGGTCTTGGATGCTATTTCCAAGAAGAATCTTCGAGGGACCTGGAAGAATAGGTCTCCATATACGGCAGAGAAGCGCTTAAACTGGGGGCTGTAAAAAGCACATTAAGTAATCGAAAGTCCCAACAACAACGAGCAGACGCGAACGTGATTGCATTTCCTGTTCCTGTGCCGAACGGCGATCCCTGGTATGTGCCATCGTGTTGATTCAAGGTCACCATGGTAAATAGTTTGTTCTGAACGCACCTGAGCCGGGTCCTCAGGATAGGCGTTCGCGATGGCAGCCAATTGATCGTCAGAAATTCCAGGAACGTAACTATCCTCGTTGAGAAACCGATGTTCCTAAGAGATTGAGAAGCTTACTTGGATTTCATGTAGCCGATAAATTCTTCATTCGTTCTGTTCGTCCACGTTAATAGAGAAGGCTTATCAGAGGAGTAAATAGACCTACGTGATATTTGTATTACTCAATGAGAAGATGCTATCGAACAAAATCAACTCTGTGTTTGGAAGGCAATCAAGCGGAAGCACATACGTTCCCTCGTCATCGCAGTCGCCCGTTACAAATGGCACCTATGTTCGGTAAAGTCAATTCTTCGCCATTGCACATTATCATGTTTGAGGAATGAATACCTTAGCGTACAAACCCTTGAGCAGGGAATCTTGAGGGTCGCGTTTGAAAAACAACCCATCGATGGAAGGTCCCCACACGATCAGGCTCTGGTAAGAAAATAAATTGGGAGACTGGTTTATAGCATCCCCGAGCTTATCAAACGGAACGGCGCGTAGGCAGGCTATAGGGTCAGCAGAACCTTGACACCCGGCATCCACAACAAGCTTGTCAAAGTACTGCTGGTTAGCAGTGATGTCATACAAGGCGGCAGGAGAGCCCGATTCCTGCATGCTGATGAATACTCGATCCATATTACGGGGGAAAAAGCCATACCATGAATGCCCCGCGGAAAAGGCCTTGCGTATCACCGTCGTTGGTGACAATATGGTAGCCCGCAGAATAAGCTCCTGCGCTCTCGCCCCAGCTTGAGGAACCAGTCAACATTGAAAGAGCTGTGGAAAGTTTGTGACGTACATTATCACTTTTGTCGGGTCTCCTCCAAACGCACTAATGTGCTTTTGAACCCATCGGAGAGCGAATTGTTCTAGCAAGATAAGATTATGAAAAAAAAAAACTTTCAAAACAATCGACTCACGGTCTCTGAGACCTATATTTCCTAGTGCAGCTGCCTTGGCTTCTTTTCCTTGCAAAAATCCAAAGGCTTCGTTGCGCAAAGGGTGAGTTGTCTGAAATACACGAGACAGACGGGACTGACCATTCAGGCGGTAGTTGGCCGACACGTATATCACTGGTTCGCCCAACGCAACTGAGCGAGCTACGAGTGGATCTGCCTGGTATGAGGAGGTAGCCCCAATCTCATAGCCGCCTAGGAGACATTGAGTTTACAGCGCTTTTCGAAGACGGGATACTTGCCGCCGTAAATCCACTGGTCATTGGTCAAGTACCTCAGAGTCGAAAGAGCTAAACGGACATAGTGACGTACAAAGATGACCGGGATCCTCTTTCCCGCTGGGATACTCGCCGGTTTAAACACGTTGATGAACAGGCCTACACAAAGTCGATGAGCAAACCACAAATGTGCAGAATTTGGTAAGAGGTGGAGCTCACAGTCTTCAGAAAATACAGAGGGTTGGGGGAAATCAGTGCTAATGGATGACAAGTTCTGAGCCGATGCGCCTTGCGACTGTTGGAAACAAGCAGCTCCGAAGGCAGTCGCATGACGAACGCCTTTGAAAGGAATTGGTGCCTCAGCGGGGGCGAATCGTAGGTTCCCAATACTTAATAGAGGGTTATGAGTGCCCGTTGCAAAAACAAACGGAAATCACGCACGGTGGTGCAGCGAACGGAATCCCCAAAAACTTCACTGAGTTTCCAGTCAAGTTTCCCTGGAACGACCCATAATCCAATGTAACGATTGGACCTTGGGCTGCTGTGACTGCTGCAGTAAACCGGAAAGATAAAATAAAGAGTAAGGGCAAAGGCAGAATCCTAGTCAGACGACCCATGATGACGCCCATGGGAGGATGATACAGCACTTTAAATCATCTAATTCATGCGCGGAGGCGGAGGCAGTGCTTTGGAGCGTTGATGCAGTCGAAGCTGTCTCGCGTCCTATGTGTAATGCATAACCCCTTGCAATTGGCTACGCCATTGGTTAAAATCCGGGCGTTGGTTCGCGGGTCGTGAGTCGTTGACCTACCGCGTACATCACATCTCCGCGATGAACGGTAGCGATGACCGGCGGTGCATAGTAGCGTGGAGGTGGAGCTAAATGGATGAGTTTCCGCAGTCCGTACTGCCCTCCCTAATTGATTGAAGAGGACAATATCAGAGGCATCTGCCAAAGCGCTTCTGAAAATGAATTTCGTACAAGCCGCTGATGAGGCCTGTATGTAGAAGTACGTTCTGCGGCTGGTCTTGAATTGGACCTGTCACCTGTAGAACTGGAAATTCGCAGTCGAAGGCAGGTGAGGCAGGAGAAAGAAACTAGTTACTCACCTAAACAACAGTAATGAAATCTGGGCCATTCAACGGAAATACCCAGATAATGAGGATATAACCTTCCTAGCTATGTCCACGCCGCAACGATACGATTCGTAACACGTCTACATCACTCCCTCAACCGTTGGGATTCAAGTTGTTGGAACCCTGATAGAAGGTGAGTTGATACGCGTAATGCAACTTCCATAGACCGAATTGTGATGTTAGTTATAGTATTGGAGCGGGAGACTCGAGCAAGCTAGCATACAGATGAGGTGCCGCGTGCGATCATCCAAGTCAAGTGCGTGGCGTTATTAGTATTACAAAGCACGGCGATAAGATGATGCAAGATAAGATAGTAAGATCGAACTCCTAAATAGTCCAAAACGAAGGTCAAAGGGGCGAAGGGACACAACTGGACTTGAACCAGAGATTTTTCAGTTTCAATCTACCACTCAAGGTACAGATACACAGTGAGTTATGTGTCCTTTTATCTCTTTGCATTATAATCATAAATCATGTTGTCAAAAATTTGGTGTTCCAGTGGTGTTTTCATCATCTGACTGAACTAAGTACTAGCAAGTCGTCATCTTGAATTGATGATACTTATGCTGTTTATGTTTGCCAAAAATAAAAACATTTGACGGGTTTTTTAGGGACATACTTGGAGTTGAACCAGGACATTGTGAGTTGCATTCTTTGGTTTACAACAGCAACTGACGATGCTTCAAGGTGAGCCATATGTCCATTGGGAATAGACTCTGCTTAGTAGTTATATAACTGTCTGGCAAGAAATAAAAAGTGGATACAGCACTCATGGAGCATAGTGGATCAAATGAGGTCAAAGTTGTGGTACACGAGATTTTTTTGGACATTCACCAGGTCAACCAATTTCAGGGCCATGTTAAATCAAGAGATTTTACAATGCAGAGTTCAGACGCATAAGAAAAAAAAAGCATTTGGGTATGTACTCATAGAACATCCCTGGAGTCAAACCAGGACTCTTGTGAGTTGCACTTCTTATGTAAAGGTCAACTGACAAGATTATACTGTGAACTATGTGTCCTTTGGTTTTTGCAGTTGGTACGTCAGTGTCATCTAAGTTAGTAAGGTATATGTGTGTGGGGGTCAAAGTTCAAAATGTAGGCACTCACAACATATAAGCACACCTGGATTCGAACCAGGAGCAGGCCTGTTGCTTATTGAATTTGGGTTGCACTACCGCTGTGTGCAGTGAGCTATTTGTCCCTTATTGATATATTATGTGGTGATAATTGATGAAAAGAGTTGGTACCAGGCCTTACTGAAGTGACTTGTTGTATAGGCATTTGTAAGGCAACCGGCAATGCTTTACAGTGAGCTAGAAAACTGGTTGTGTTTGATGAATAAAGATACAGTACTCACTGGCATTCTTGTCCTTGTTGCCCCCCCGCTTCATGACACCATTCTATATCTGGGGAAGTGCTATATTGCCAAGTCGGAAGCCCCACCTCCAGAACGCGCAAGGTTGAACTTGCAAAAAAAAAAAAAAAAAAAAAAAAAAATTGTTGATAAAATAAATCAATTTTGCGATATGAAGATCGCAGAATTGGTGAGTTCAATGATGTATGTGTCCTGTTTTGATTTTTGTGAAGTGCGTATGTGTGGGCTGAAGCTTTAAAAATACAAAGGTAAATCCCGGTACATCAGAGGACACACCCGGATTCGAACCGGGGGCGTGTTATTTGTGAGTCGCACTTAATACTGAGAATTTACGCGGATTCGGTCACGTGCGTTTGTGATTCCACCTGCTGACGCATCTTCTCTGTTTGCGTCCTCGCCCTGCAGCCAAACAGCCGCGCCTCGCGCTGCCCGCTCGTCCTCGTCGATGCTGCCCGACCTCTTCCCACCCACTTACCTTGCTAGCAACGGGCGCGGACTGCGGGTCTGGTGTGGATTTTGGTTTGGGAGCTTGGACCTGAGGAGATTGTAGGCTGGATCCTTTCCTTTTGTCTGCTTGTAGTTAAATTACATAGAATTACATGTGTTGTACTTCGACATCAATCAATCAATCAGAAAGGACGTGCGCCTCCTTGCAGCAACACGCCCTCTTTCTTTTCATCCCCCTGCTTTCTCATTGTGTCGTCTCAGCCTCCGCGTGCCTCCTCGACAATTTGGGAGCCCTTTGGTGAGTCCGATAATTTTGCTGAACTTGACCTGCCGGCCAGTGCCCTTTTGAGTGCTTAAATGACGGCTGAACTGGCTGCAGGGCGTGTTGACAGCCGGCTCTGTAACTTTACGGGATCAAACCTGGGCCCAAGTTAAAGAGCTGTTTGTCAACATTCCCTGGATGCTGTCGATTTGTGTTGTTTTTTTGAAATCATCATTAGATCTGGTCTTTATCTCGGTTTTCAACGGTGTTCAAGCATTACACCACTACTGATTATTTTGCAATACAGATAACTGTAGCCCAAGAGCACGATGTATGGTACAAGAATGGAAGCAACGTTATTAATGGAAAACCTACCATAAGTGTTTAAAGTTCAAAATATATGTGTATGCTGAGACTTCGTTGAATTTGCGAAGATGCTTGATAATACCACTCGAATCAAGCAGACGGCGACGGGCTGCTGCTTGAGCGTTCGTCATATGTTCCGTTCTTACTGCAGTGTCGTCGGCCATGCCTGCCGCGGATGGCGTCAACAAGTGCAGCAACACCCTTTACAGCAACTGGGTATGCCGATAGGAATGCCTCTTCATCCCGACCAAATCTGGCATAGCGAGGAGGTGAGTTTTCGCATGTCATGTACAAATGACTGTCTGATCACCTTTCGTATTCCTTAGCAATCATCTCACGCTCTCCTCTTTTAGCACCATGTATCAAACACATCCTTCCCGTGTACCAACCGGACGGCCAATCCTTCAACGGAGGAACCCCTTGTGATGGAACACCCTCATCCCACTGTTCAACCGCTTGTCGCCAAGCTCGGGGTCCTCTGCGAAGGTTCGGAATCAAAGCTCCTGCGATCGGATATGGCGTGGGACGCTCCTTTGAATGAGGATGCTTCTTCGCATGAGAGGATGATGCAGGTGCATCATCCTCGTTGGGATTATTGTTGGATGCCTCTGGGTCTGTGTGAATGACAGATACATGGTGGGCGGGCCTCATCAGCTCTGCTCGCATCGCAAGTTCAGTAGTCTCACATGCACGAGGCGCTGTAACTCGTGTATATTCTGATGCATGGCATTCTGGGGATGGTGCGGTGTGTGGTGAGTGCGCCCTGATTGCGTTCAGCAGTGCCTCACCCATAAGATTCATGTCACCCAGAGTTACATTCCGAGAAAGTTGGTGTTCGCCCAGGAAACTCTGCTCCGTATCCAGGCGCGTGGGACAGAGCATGTCACAATAACTCTTCTCGTAGCTTTGAAGAGAGTCAATCAGGTATTTCATTAATGTATCCACCTGGGCAATTCTGACATTTAGCCTTTTGAACTGTAGTAGCGTTACGCCGATAAATTTGTGGCTCACCTGCTCGCCCTCTGCCCACCCACCCCACCATCGAATGATCGTGAGGGACCACCGCTTCCTGATTGGTGCGTGGATGAACCTGTATTGTGCTCCGCCACGCCTGAGACAATGAGTTGTGAAGTTTTTCACCAGGCCCGCTCCCTGACAGAATTCCGTAAGGAGGCATTGCACCTGGTCATGGGAGAGCGCTTTCTTTGGATGGAGGATGCCGTTCGGTGCAATGTAAGGGAAGACATAGTCATCATCTTCGACCTTCCGCCCAATCTTTTGTTCAAGAAGGGCTACCCACACCGGAAGTCGAGAAAACATGTCAAGCTCAGTCAAATCCTGCTTGTAGATATGGTACGTGTTACCTTTTATAGTCATAGATGAGAATCGGTCATTGATTTGATTTGATTTGTAGTAAAACGGCTCACTCTCGAGAGGGCCATCCCATCCTTGCTTGTTCTGCCACCCCTTTCGATTTTCAAGGAACACAGAGAAGAAGGGATGAGACAGAGGTGCGGGACCACTACAGTCAAAGACGATGTCTCGAAACTGGAGATTACACAGCTCAAAGTTCCTAGTAATTTCACTTCGGTAAGGTCATATATCACAAAAGTCAAAGTAATAGAAACCTTACCGGGTCCACAGAGTATATCCGCTACATAAGAAAGCCTCCATTTCAAGATGTTTCGCCAACAATTTTGCATGATCATGGTCATCAAGAGAAGTGTCGACCCTCATTTCTGCACGGCGTTTTTCAGACCACTCCATCACAGCTCGAAGCTCCTCAATTCTCATTGCCTCGGCATGGTGGCGTCCAGCAGCAGCACCCTTTGCTCCGCTCTTATTCTTTATTACTTTCATCAGGCTCTGCACGACTGGCGCTCGTCCTGGGCATCCTGTCACCTTGTTTTTTTCTTCGTCGTGTGTGTAATCACCTGAATACTTGGTCCCATCCCTGGCTCCCATTCATCTTTGCAATATAGAAGCAGTTTGGAGTTGCACACATACCAGTGGTCCCATAAATCACAAAATGCACCGTGAATTCCCCATGCTGTGCTCATACCAAGGCCCTCCGTGCAGCACTTTTGGACAAGGAAATATTCGAGAGCCGTGGCAGAGAGCTCGTTTGGGGGGCCATTGAATGCACGTGCGAGGATGTCGAGGTCAATTTCTTCGTCATCTGAGTTATTCAAGGTAGGCTCGCCTGACTCCCTCTCCTTCTTCTTTTCCTCGATGACCTCTGCAAGAAATTGTCTTCCATTCTTGACATATCCCTTATACTTTCGGCGTGTACGTGCGGGGCGGCCATAAGCATCTCGATTGACAGCACTCTGTTTCTGAAGCGTCTCAAGCTTTGCTGCGGCAACTTTTGTCTTCTTCTTTCCTGGTGCTTTGTTTTTCTTGCCAGTTGTACTTGATTGCCTTGCCATGTAGTTGTAGGTGGTGTTTGAATATAAGAAGAGATTTTTGTTGCGAGCCTTGCGTTTCAGTATGACGGAGGCATTTTTATTTAAATTGTGTGGACCTACAAACTTTACCATCAATTCTCTCATTTCGAGCAGGACGGAGCCGAAAAGGATACTATATGTTATTAAAGCATGTACTAGATATACAAGGTAGATAGAGTCAATCAATACATGGAGATACAAGTAAACTAATGGGAAGAAATGATTTCGGGGCAGAGTATGTGCTAGAGTATATCATCTATCATTGTAAGATCAACGAAAGATGGATCTCTGGTCGAGGTGTCAGGACCATGGGCTGAAGTATCACCTGTCAGGTCAAAAAAGCCGAGAAATACCGGCGCGCGAGCGGATGAGGTTGGTGAGTGCGTGGAATTAGGTCCAGGCAGCAAGTCGGAGATGGCAAGGCCTGCTGGATGGATGCTGCGTTGTGGCGTCGGAGGGCTGACACAGCTCGGTCCTGCTGTAGATGACGTGATGCGCCCGCAGGGAACGTTTGCCTGAATGGGCAGCATGGATGGGTTGGCAACCGGTTGAAGGGGTGTGTATGGGTTAGGTGTTGAAGCTGTCATTTTATGGGTTTTCGACTTGCGTAAGGGGCGCGCAGGGCGGTCACACATGGGGTGGTCATGCGTGGGGTGGCTGCCTGGTGGTAGTGTGGAGTTGACCACTGCAAGTAGGTCCACACGCTCAAGCAAAGTCAGTGGTTGGCATGATGATGCTGTTGAAGGGACTTCTTGTAGAATCTGGATTAATAGAATCAATTATTGTCTGCTGCAAGAAGAAACTTGACTTACAGGGGATGGTGGTGCCGAGAGCTCAACATGCTTGAGAGTCTTCTTAGGTAATGTTGGAAGGCAATGGTCCACAATTGATGCTGGAATCTTGACAGAGATATGTCCGGTGTGTTGGGGACATGCTTCACCAATACCCGACGCCGCAGAAGCAAGGAGTGAGTGGAGGGTAACCTCAACAGTATAGATCTTGACGCTAGTCGCAAGGAGTCGTCCCGGTCTGGCATTTGTGATCCTAAGGAATGAACACATTCCTGGTGGATTATCGAAGACAACCCCATCTTCTATGTGTTGGCGGAGCACTGCATATTCATCCACTGGCTGGAAAGACAGGTGTAAGCTTCAAATTCGTCAGTTTTGGGAGTGATACCCACCTCCATCAGTCGGCGAATGCAGATGCCGTCCCAAATCCGAGTGTGGAATTTTTTGCTAACGGTGTCGGATGTACACCACCTGAAGTATTGCTTGCAGAGCCGTGCAATTCGTGGCAGGTCGGGTGCACGTGGAACCCATGACTGGCTTGCGTTGGGTGGTCCGCCGAGGGTTCTTGATGTTAAGGGCATGGCATAACTCATAAGAACGCCTAGCTGAGGAAAAGTGTCGATCGTTACAGCAATAGCCACCTGCCCAATCTTCAACAACTCAGCATGCAGATCAGCCCGCCATCCAGCCATAAAGGAGACGAGGGTGTCGCCTGAAAGTGACTGAGCGGCGTTGAGCAGGCTATCACCAAGCCCGGTCCCCATCAGTTTTTGTGCAGTGACCTTGCCACAACCTTTGAGGCCAACCTGTTAAACGATGTCAAGGAGATACTTCAGCTTAATTGTTTCACTTACAGTGTCGTAGTCCCCACCGCATAGCAAGGCGTACAAAACCATATCACCCTGAGTGAGGGATACAGATGGGGTAGAGCGGATTGCGGTGGATGTGTAAATCTTGACGGTGTCGCCATCCCATTTGATCTTTTCTCCGTTGAGGTGAGGTCTGCCAATACGGGTGAGCATATTTAGCTGGATACACATGAGAGGGAACCTACTTGCGAATTACCACCTGCGCACCAAACACAAGCGCATCTCCATCCTCCGACATCACAGCATCTAGAATGCCGATGCTGTTGAGATACGCAAGCTCCGCCTCTGCCTCTCCTGGAGCCTATTGATGTTACCATTTAGTTGTTGTGTTCCATCATGTGAAAGGAAAAAAATTACCTGGTGAGTTCCAAACCCAAAGGCATCCGCTATCTCTTTTGTTGGATCCACAGCCCAGTGCTCGGCAGTCAAGACATTCACACCTCGTTTTCGAGATGGTCGTCCAGGCCCATCGAATACCAGAACAATGGTGAACGGTAATCGAAGTAGTTGGCACATTTTCTCGAAGAGCGTGCACAGCTCAGGGTTCATGCCTCGCTGATACCGGCGACCGCCTTTGGCATGCGCAAATTGGGCCTCATTGAGCCAGATACTTGGGATGATAATATGAGCAAAGAAAAAAGGGAAGGGGGGAGTCAACGTACCTTGCATCAATGCCCACAACGATTGTGCGGGTACCATGTCGGTTGGTTTCAAATCCTTCAGCAATTGTAAATTGCAGCAATGACCGTAGTTTTGCTGCTGCTTCAACAAGCTGTGATTGTTGGTTAGAACACCTGTAAAAAGGATGGTGGGCAAATACCTTCCACAGCGATGCAACTCCCATGGTCGTCCTCGTCGAGGCGTTTGTGAGACACCAATGACGAGCATCCACAGCAAACAAAGCTCAACATCCAGCCACAGCGATGGAGACCAGGAAAGTCCTTTGTTTTGCGTTTGGGTATCCATGCAGTTAATATTGCCACGTCAACGAGTAGGCGGCTATCCAGAGGACGACGTGAGTGATGTTGAAACTTGAATGTTGAACGTTGAGCATCAGCGCTCAGCACTTGCTGATGCGCTCGTTGATAGGAACACACACACGTGCACACAAATAGAATCAACGCGACGCGTCGCGTCAATGATTATAATTTTGCATCAAATGGAACATTGAACACTGTAGTCCCTGTAGTCCTATACACATCTTTCGAGGGTTTTTGTTGTCTGAAGAGGAATCCCAACTATCCGTGTTATGAATACAGATGCACGCGGGAATTAACACACAGGAAACTAGCAGAAAACATGTATTGAGAGGTGGGTAAGTTGTGGTAAGAAGCCGTAAGAACTTACGCACCCAGAATTTACAGTAAATTAGGTTCAATTTACAGGGATTTACGGTGAGCTGGTGCGGTCCAGGAGCCGAATGGTCGAAATTACAGTGAGCTGGACCCTAATGATTGATTTACAGTGAGCCGGCATGCTATCGAACCCTGATTTACGGGGAGTAAACCTTTGGCCAAGCATTCCCTAGCATTCCATCCCTGTACAGTCTGAAGTGCATCACAGATCTATCTCCTTACCACACCCATTCAGAAGCTTGGCACTCCCTTTTTCCAGAGACTCAAAAACAAGCAACGTTAGATTATTAAGATACATGAACTACTTCTACTCGGATGTACCCCAACAGCAACAAAAAAAAACCTTGAGGGCATCCCAAGACTCACCCTGTACAATCCGGGAGTAAGTAGAACGCCAGAACGAAGGAATCTACCTCAATCCCATGATCGCCGTCTTGCTGAGTGGTGCGCGCCGGCACGCCGTCGTCAAAATCTCCAAGTGTGAAGCATTGACCGTGGTCCCGGAACCCATAATCAGAGTTGAAGTCTTCAATACCTCCACTTCGCTGCGAGCCGAGCGGGGGTAACCACAGGCCAAATCCTCAGAGTCGATGTCGGTCACAAGAGAGTGCTCAGCGAATTGTGCGGCGAGTAGACAACCATGGAACTGTGTCGCCGAAACAGGAAAGCAAGCGGTCCGTGAAGGGAACGCGGAGAGGAAGGTGGGGCGTGAGGATGCTTGAAATGTGACTTGAGTGATAGTCTGCGTCGTAAGTGAATCCAGTAGGAATCGAACTTGATCCAACACCTGGTATGGAAAGGTTGAGAATGATGAAAAAGAGGGATATTGGAGACAAACCGCATAGAATAGAGAAACCGCGATGGGCCTTGGCAACGTTGTTGAAAATTCCCTGTATCAACACAATCTCCCCTACACCAGCACCTCCAAACAGACCAATCTTTCCACCATGAGCATAAGGGGCAAGGAGATAACGACCTGGATACCAGTTGCCAAAACCTCAGCAGTCCTCGACTGGTTGAAGGAGGGAGGATCAGCATGAATGGGGCTGAGTTTGACACCCTTGATAGGGCCACGCTCATCAATGGGTTCTCCAATGACATTCATGATGTGTCCGAGCGTAGTGGTGTCGACTGGAAACATGACGGGGAAGCCGGTATCCACTTTTGTTCCACGGACAAGACCCTCGGTACCATCCATGGCAACAGAGCGGACAGAGTTTTCGCCCCCCCGAATGAGAAGCAATGCCAAGGACGAGACGACCGCCACTGAAGTTTTGGACCTCAAGAGCGTTAAGGATTGGCGGGTTGACACTCAGACGGCTGTGCGTTGTTCGACACCTTGCTGCTGAGCGCTGAGTGCCGACGAGCGGAATGCGATTTCGAGGCTGAATAGGGAAGTGGACTGGTGGATGAGTATGTGCAGCAAATGTGCAGGCGGATAAAGTGACTTACAGGTATTGCTCGGCAAGGTAGTTGGTTGGTAGCTAAACCAAATGCAGATGATGGGCCGCCAGGGACGTTAAGCGAAGAATCCGGCCAAAGGCGATTTTACAAAATTTACGGTACCCCTGTAAATTGGTACGGATAAAGTGACTTAACACACCGCCTTCCGTGTGAGCTATGGTCCTTTTGAGTTTGAATTGTTCGTGGGGAGGTGTGTACTGAGATGCGGTTGATGCTTGGATGGATGGTGCACTGTGGATGAAAATGTATGTAGGAAGATCGTGATGCGTGATGCTCACGGGTATGCGTAGCACCCTCACCGACACTATGTAGGGATCTTTCCACTCCAAGCTCCGATGCCGGGATAATACCACTTTTTGGTCTCGAATGGCGCGTTGTGTCCGATGCACTGGCGTAGCACCATGATGCTTGACAAAAGTGACAGATGGAATAGAAGCTGATCAAAGCTAAGCGGTAATGGGTGGCCACATCTCGATTCAAAGCAGGGTTGGAATGCGTTTAGCTATGCGTCGCGGTGAGTTATGTGTCCTTTGGTAGTTTGTGTGCGCTACGAAGAGTTGTCACCTATTTGAAGTTTGAAGTACCTAGAATTCAGTAAAAATAAGATGAATCACCAATGTTCTCCATTTCGTAGCGACACACCTGGATTCGAACCAGGAATTGAAGGTGCACCTTACACCTTTTAAGTTTTGATCACGATGCACGATCAGCTATGTGTCCTTTCCTTGAAAAGAACCTGATCAAAGTTGTCGTCCGGTTTCTGATCACCCGATGGACGTTACGTAATCATTGTTGTTTTTCACATCGTGCTCGCTTCCCTCCTGCCATCAGTCTTCCTTCCCTTGCAGACAGACCTCCGCCTTTGCCCGCGGATCCAACACTCTTTTTATTCTTATATCACGACGACGACGAAGAAGAAATGGCGTCGCCGTCGCCTGTTACCTGTGAGTTTTCTTTGCGGTTGTGTGTTATGGGACGAGGCATGCTGATGATGGATTGTGTGGTGGAAAGCTACACCCGCAACGTGAGTCTTTCGTCCGTCGACAGAGAGAGGAAACGTGCTAACGAGCGGTATACTTTGCCAGTCCCCCACCCTCCTCCTCCCCTCCAACCCAATCCAGCATAACTCCCACATCCACATCAACCAGCACCACGTCTTCCACCACCACCACTTCCGCCACCTCCGTGACCACTAGCACAAGCGTCTCCGACACCAGTTCAAAGTCTACATCAGTGACTAGCACCACATCCGCGGCACCCACGTCGGTAGCGACCCAGACTACGACTGCGCCCCCGACGAATACGAGGGTGACGACGGATCGATCGGGGGGTGTCGTTACGCTTACTTCGTTCCTTACGACGTCGGCTACTAGTGGGGCACCGACGAGTTCGAGCGCTGCGTCGACTAATACTGGGTGAGCGGCATGGAATCCCCTTCCTTTCCTTCCCCATCCCATCTTTTTTTTTTGCATGAGGCGATGTGCGCATGCGGCGCACTCCCTCCGATCTATCATTATTGATTACCTCTCCCGATCGTGACAATGGCTTTCTTTTTTTTTTCTTTCGCTGTTTTTCTTCCGTTCCCGTGGATTATCCATGTTCCGAGAAGCTGCCATCGCAACAGCCCACTCATGGTCGTCGTCGTCGTAACGGCCTCCTCGTCATTCGCATTGTTTGCTCAGCTTCGCATCGTTGCGACCCTCTTTTTCGTTTGCCTGTTCATTATGACTAATGCTGTCAATCTTATTCCTTTCAACCCTTCTTTGGGGTGCCCCATGCCCTTTATTCCTCCTTGCTCGTTTCATTTGCAGCGTATATGCGCTTAGCCTTTCTGCCTTACATGCGCCACTGCCTTGCTGCGCCTCGCCCTCAACTAGCTCAGTCAAAGAGGTGTGAATGGCGTACTTGCGTACTTTGGTCCTGGTATGGTTCAATAGCGTTCAAGTTGACGTTTTACACTTTCCCCGTGCTCCTACTTCTTTTGCTTCCTTTCTTTGAATTGTGGAGTATATGCGCCTCCTTCCTCCCTATCCTCTTCCTCGTTTTCCGTCCTTCATCCCCATCTAACACCTCCCCAGATTCTTCCACAACACCGCCGCCGTAGCAGGCACATTCTCCGTCGTCGGCGTCGTCGCACTAGGCATCTTCATCGCCCTCTTCACCAACGCCATCCGACGTCGCCGAGCCCAAAAATTCGACCGCGAAATCGCCGAAGCAGCAGCTGAAGCCGCTCGTCAGCCCGCCCCTATCTTTTTGGACGACGACGACGAGGGCGATACGTACAAGGGCTATCGCGGGGGCGGGGGAGGAGGGTACGGTGGTGGTGCGTCTGGGGGGTATAATAGCGGGAGTTCGGGGTATCATGGTGGTGGAACTATGCAAGACCGGCAGTTCTCGGACGTTTCGTCGCATGGGACGTATGGCCAACCTCCGATGTCGCATGAGGCGTATGGGATGCATGAGATGGGGCATGGTGGTGTTGGTCCCGGAGAGATATTTGTTGATCCTTATATCGCTGGGGCGGGTGCGGGTGCGGCGGGTATTGGCGTAGCGAGGGCTAGGAGCACGAAGGACGTTGCGGGTGGTGGGTACGCGCAGGCTTTGAATGATGGTGCGAGCCCTTACCCTGCTATGGCTGCTCCGTCTTCTACCGGTGGTCCACCACCATCCCAACAATCGATGCCTATGCTTATGGGGTATGGAGGGAGTAGGAGTCCCGAGTATGGATTTGGGAGTCGGAGTCCCGAGTATGAGCTTTTGGAGGCTGCTGGGATGGGTGGTGGTGTGGCTAGGTCGCAGTCTCAACAACAACAGCAGCAGCAGCAGCAGCAACAACAACAAAGGCAGTATCATTATCACCGTAATCAACAACAACAACAGCCGCAGCAGCAGGGTTTGGGAAGGTCGGGGACGTCTGGATCGCAGTATTATTCGGGTCCGCCTGCAGCTGCGGGGGAGTATTACCCTCCTCCTCCCGGTAACCCCCCAGGACAAGGCCAGCAGGGGTACGCAGGAGGGTTCGTGCAGCCCCCTCATTCTTCTTCCCAACAGCCACAACAGCCGCCGCCTTCGCATCAAGAAGAGGAAGGCGATATGGATGATGCGTATGGGGGCATGGGGTATGAAGATGACGGGGATCAGCAGCAACAGGTTGAGAGCCAAGGAGGGACATTGCCTAACCCTTTTGATGCTCCGCATAGTCACAGTGTTGAGAGTGATTATGATGATGATGAGGAGGAGGAAGAGGGGAGGAGGAGGGTGTTGAAGGTGCGTTTTTGAATTTATTATCTAATTATTTTGGTGGAGTGTTGATGTCTTTTTTTTCTTCTTTGTGCCGTAGGTCGCGAATGAGTGAGAAGGTATGTTTTTTTGTTTTGCGTTTTTGTGAGCTGTGCTTATGATGTGTTTTTTTGGGTAGGCTCCGAATGAGTGAACGTATGGGATTTTTGGTTTTAATGAATTGATATATATACTTTACACTTCTTGTTACCTTCTTTTCTTGAAACTTACCTTTCCTTTCTTTCCCAACTTTCTTTTCTTGACTTTCTTTCCCCCCATTCTTTCCCCCTCCCCCATTCTTTCCCCCCCCCCTGTTTCTTTGCCCCCCGTTCTCTTCCCTTTCCTTCTTTCTTGAGGAACGAGTGTATTGGGTAGTTGTTCTTCTTCTCGTTCTTGTTGCTTCTTGTTGTACCTGCTTACTCTCACCCTCACCCCGCCTGCCTGGTCGTTGGTCTTTTTACACGAGTCTGGGTCGCCCCTCGTGAACGCTCGATATGACGCATGGTTCCCTCCCTCGATATGGCGTTCTCTCTATTCAGTGCATGGCTCCCTCGCACGACCCGTGGTTCCCTTCTCCGACCGAGGTTTACGTTCACCCTCCCAAGGCTCTCCCACCCCGATCGACCGAAGCCCAACACAACCCACTCCATCCTGACGTACACTCCCCTCTTTATACCTGACCTGACGTACTGCTCCCGACCTCTCTTCTCCCTGACGTACCTGTCCTCAACCACCCAGGATAATACACGCTCCTTTCATTCTCCCTCGCTCCCTTGTCCCCTGTTATATTTTTGACTTTCTGAGTTGATTTCTGATCACACCTTCAACTCGAATTCCTTCTTTTCCCACTTCCTTTCCTTTGCTTATTCTTATTTCTTATTTCTTACATTTGTTGCTTGCGTTGTGGTTTGAAAAAAAGAATTTAATTGCTATTTATGTGGCCTAGTGGATGAATTGATTTTCCGTGTCTTTTCCTTTGTGGGTTTTACTTGGAGGAGATAGTTTGGCTTGGTAGGATCATGTGGAAGTAGATAAAGGTGCGTATCTGGGCGTGTTGACTTGACGCGTGGCTTGCTGTGGATGAATTGATTCAATGCGTGGTCCTTTTGTAGGTCCAGCTGGCGATGGCTCGGAGCCCGGGGTTGGCATCCAACGGTCACCAGAGACTTATCTTGAACCCTCTTCTTCGAATCTGCTTCTTAACATACGTATATTTTGGGCGCTCCAGTCTCCGATACTTTCGGACCGCCGATAAATCTAGTCATCCAGAGCAGCCCTCCAGATTCCTCCCCAGCGGTCTTGGTCGCCCACCCCTTGCAGCTGTTCTCGGGCGAAACTGCCAAACTCTACCCTCTAGGTGCGGGTGCAGTACACGCGTCGAAGTTTTACGTAGGTCACTCGCTTAGCCCTCGATGACGTTGGTCCTGGCAATTTCTTTGAGACCCATAGAGGATGAATTGATTTTCCGCATCTGAATTTTACTTGGAGATGGTGGATGGAGATGATTCAAGGTGCGTATGTGGGGGTGTTGGTTCAACGCGTGGTCCTTTTGTAGGCCCAGCTGATAGAAAGGTTTCGATGCCTGAACCTTGATGGTTCGGAGGCCGGGTCACCTGTCAAATTTGGCACCCAGTCACCAGAGGCTTATCTTGAACCCTCTCCTTCGAATTCTGAATCTCTTCTCAACATTCGTACATTTTGGGCGCTCGAGTCTCCGATACCTTCGGACCGCCGATAGATCGAAAGCTGGAGCGTAGCGTCCCTCCCCAGCTGTCTGTCCTCGCCAGACTTTAGCCTTTAGGTGCGGGTGCAGTACTTTCATTTTTGTCATCGTCTCCCTGCAGTTATTCCACGCGTCGAAGTTTTACGTAGGTCATTCACTTAGCGTTCTTCATCCTTTGTTCTGACGATTTCTTTGGGTTCCAAAACGGTGCTGTCTAGCTGACTCTCCATCGGGCGCCGAGGAGTCTTGCACTTTTGCGACGTGTTTATGAAACCCGGAGAAAGCTCGGACCTCCATACTTCGTCCAGTGATAAATCGTGATGACCCTTCGTCTTTTCCAATTAACCCATAATGATTACAGCCGATCTGCTTTGCATGGAAGAACCGTCAAGACAAGCGACAGGATGGAGCTGAAATTGAGGTGCTTTCCACGTCTATCTGAGTGTCAGTGGCATCAGCCCTGATTGTGGATGACTGATATATGTAGGAAGAATTGAGAGGCCTCACCCACGAGATCTAGTGAACCCCCCGCCGTTGCCCTCCCCCCCCTCTCCACTCGTAAGCAGAAGACGAGAAGGACCCAGAACCGGTATTTTCATTGGGTGTTTCGGGCAAGATGTCAGCCGCTGGTACGGATATTAATAAGTACGTTGTTATTCCTTTCCTTTGCGCAGATACCTTGCTTACGACCGGATGGCTGATAGAGCTGCACCTCTTGTTCGTCCTCGCTTGTAATCCTGTTCAAGTTCTCTCATCATGATGGATACATAGTTCATTGGATGCATCATCAGTTGGTTTTTGTCGGGCTCGTTGATGGTGCAGACCTGTACGCGCTTCTTAAATTCAGTCCCTTCTCCAGCCTACTTAATTCCCTTGATCTTCAGACGATTACTTTTGCGACGATCACCTTGAAGGTGATATGATCGGAATAAAACTTGCAGGTACGAATTCGTATTCGAGTTATGTTTGAGCCAAAATCTCACACGGAATATTTCCATGTAATAGTGGGGCTAGCCTTCATTCTTGATATGGCGCGATCGATGTCAGTGACTTCGGCAGGCTGGGAGCGGCTGGTGAGCGGCTGGGGAGATCCAACGAGTTTCTCTCGCATATCAATATTCGCAGCCATGACTGTCCCGCTAACGGGGCTCGGTAAGTCCTTCCCATCGGTTTTTAAGACCTTGATCAAGCCATCGACAGAATCATGCGTAGTCCAAACGTTTTTCGCTTGGTGGGCACGATTCGCTGAGAGTCTTTCCCGTTTTATCTTATCCCCCTAGGCGAATATGGAATCTGAGGAGAGGTTCAAAAGTTGGTCGTTTCGTTCCGTGTATCATCTCATCGGTGCGGGGTCTCCATGGTTTCTTGTTCTTTGTACTCAGAGTTTGTGTACAGGTGGCGTTGGTACAGTTTGCAGCAGCGGTCGTTCACGGGATATGTGTATGTGGCCCTACTGGATTTACTTTGACTTTCACGAACCTTTTGACAGTGTTATCAATCCGACAATTTCAACATAGGAAAAGAGTGGCTCAAACTTTCAACGGAGGTGCGAATGACTTCGTTGCGCTCCAACATATCCGTATGCCAAATGCTTCTAGATCTGGCTCTCAGGTAGCTTCCTCTGTGACTGCATCATTGTGATGACCATGATAATCCTGGTACGTTCGTTCTTTTGCTTTGGATTAACTCATCATAAATTTCGTCTTCCTCGGCCGTCAGCTCGTACAGGCAAAGCTTGAATCTTCATTCGTATTGACTCGACGTCTCATTGACCGTCTCATAATTGTTACTCTGGAGACTGGCGCTATCACTGTCGTCGTGATTCTCGTTCAGCTCGGTATATATATAAAATATCCAGAAGATGCACTCCAACATGTTGCGGTGTAAGTTGCGTATTTTCTTTGACGTGGTTGGTATCTCATATTCTTATCCCAGGATGTACATTCTTGGGGGCTTGTAAGTTTTTCCGGGTCTTCGGACTTCCATATTGTTTAACAACTTTTTTAGGTACGCTAACGTACTCCTCGCTGTTCTAAATGGCCGGAAGCGAGCTCGCCGGCTGGTGGCGCTCACGCATCATTCTCTCAGCCTCCACTTTGCTGAACACATTCCCTCCCGTTTTTCCTCCGCTACGTTACAAGAAGCCTTGATGAGTGATACAATTATGCGAAGTAGTCAAGTAAGTGTGTAAGAATAGTATTGGACAATTTTTGTTTGTGGGACTGTTTTAGAATAATTAGAGCTCACTGGACTATTAAGTATAACTCTTAGGACTAGAAAGATCATAGAGTACAAACTGTACAATCACGTCGACTTGTGAACGCTGTACTCAGACATCCAACATGAACACATAATATTGTATCTTAGAGTACGGATCTTACTTTTCATTTCTTAGAATGGCAATCAAGTCGTGTAAAATCTCCACGTTCAAGTTACCCCCCACACCATTACGTTTGTTTGATTTCCCCATGACGCGGTCAAACTGAAAATCGTGAGTAAATAGGGAGCGTTGGAGGCATCAAGGAGGCATCAAAAGGCGCACTTCCTTCGCAATCAGCGACTTCATTTCATGGTTTGATCGTCATACTCTTCACGATTGAAAAACCATATGTACTTGATGTTTTCAAACCTACTCATCGGCAATTTTCCCTTATCGTATCGCCAAGAGCTGGTCGAACTTAAATTTGATCTGATTGACAAGTTGCCTGGAAATTGTGGTAGGTTTGCAATATCTTGGATTCCGAATGCAAGCGCTGCATGAGTCGCCAAGCCTTGAAATTACAAGCCACAATCAGCCTAGACCGAGCTCGTAGCTAAATTAGAGAGTTTGCCTTTAAAGATCGTTATGTGGCAATGCTGGCTCTTGCATGGCGCGCGCAGATCTATCTTATCAAGAGGAATGCTGTCCAACTACACCCAGATGTTTATCAGATTCTTTATTTCGGTGGCGTCTTTCAATTCCTTTGTTTTCTTTTTTTCCATCCATGAAGGCAATTTCACGTCAGGAACGGAAGTGTGCATCTCATTGATCCGCAATTACTACAGATCAACTCAAGCAACTAGGCATTATTCCAAACATTATTGGAGGTTTTGAGCAGCTTTACATTCAGAAACGAGCATGGTGTATATTTAGATTTTTTACTCACCACTCCCTGGAGCGCCATTCTATTAATAGCCTTACAACATACTTGGTTCTTCGAGGAAAGGCTCGTGCCTCGAGGCGTGCCTACTTTGATCGGAAATCCCCTAGACCGCCGCGCTGGTATATATAGGAGGTCTCGTCAGAGCATGTCAACCAGTAGCTCCCCCTCCTCGGTTATGGCGTCGCAACCGTATGTTATTAACTACGCACATGCTGTTGGATACGACTCTGTACCAGCGGCTGCCGTCTTCGCTGCCTTGTACGTCCCCCTCTTTGGGTGGTATGTACTCAAATCGATCAAGAACCCGACCTATGTCCTCATCGTTCTTTCTCTTTTTTGTGCAAGTAGGTTACTTTCCTTTCTCAGATTTTGTTGTATGTGAACAATCCTTTCAGTCCGAATCACAGCGTTCGTAATTCGTGCCGTTCTCGCTAGCTCAAGCACGGCGGGGCAACACATCGGTTTATTAATTGGCGATCAGATTCTGTTCGGTGTTGGATTCTTCGGATTGCTCTATTCTGCGTATACCCTCGTTCTCGATCGGTGAGCTTCTTTCGCATTCGTTATCGCACTCCAGTTGTGTACTAATAATTTTAGTGAATTGCTCAAAGGCACCTCGCCCCCTAGAAGCTTCATCCTCCGCATTACCCGCAATCGTGCATTATTCAGATTGGCTTTGACCAGCGCTGTTGCGCTGGGTATCACGGGAACGACCATGTCCCAAAGCTCCAACCCGAAAACAATATCAACAGGGCTGACATTGCGTAAAGTTGGTACGATCATCTTCCTCGTGCTTACGGTGCTCCAGGCGTTCCAGACGCTGATCTTGGCGAAGATTGAGCTCACGGGTGCGTACATTTTTCGCTAATTTTATGAATTCAACTTGACCGTTCGTCAGGCAAATCCGAGCGTGAAGCTGACGAAAATCAGTCTTTTGGGATGAAATATGGAATTTACATCCTTTACATCATATCCTTGCTTCTCCTCGTCCGAGAGGCATTCTCGATGGCCACGGTTAGCAACATGTTCAAGCAGAGCAACGAGCACTTCTGGTATCCCCTCGTCGCGCTTCCGGAAATTCTTGTCGTGATCTTGTTCTCGACGCCGGGTCTTGTTCCCAGTCGTTCTGATCTTCAAAGGAATACTGGTAAACCGGAGGCATAATTGGTAGCTCGGGGTTGGTTGTGTTGACTTTTTTCTTCGTTTCGACGGTACACTATACCCTATGATAGGACTCTCATGAATCGACTTTTCTACCATTACCTTTATATCACACTAGGATAAAGGCTTGGTAGGGTGAATGATGCCAGAACGATGGCAGTCCAAGGACCAATTTATTGCGAATATCCGATAACGACAAGTATCAACGCGGAAATGATGAACTGCTTCTACTAGTGACTTGCCAGCAGCGCGTCAGACTTAAAAATGCAGGTTCGTGGTGCATTTCAAGCGAAGCAAACCTGGAAGATAAAGGCAATGAAAACAGCGAGTACATACAAAGAAGAAGGACAGGTAATGGGAGAGGGAGATGCATGTTCCCCTCTCCGAGACGGCCAGAAAGCCGGAAAGGGGAATTATGATAATTATCAGGGCACCAAGGGCCAGATTACATTGCATCGCCAAACATATTACGTGCCATCGGGACGCTGAAAACGAAGCAGAACTCCAGGAAGGACTTGAATAGGAACTAGGTATGCAGAAGAGAAGCCATAATGGGAGCACGCTCATGTGAGGTTGACGGAAAACGAGATCACAAAAGACGGAGTTGCCGACAACGCGAAGGTAGGCGAAAGTGAATAAATCGAAAGGATGCCAACAACTGGAAGCGAAGAGCAAGGAGAGAATCGGAAGGACGGAAAACGCACAAGAGACCAAAAAGAAAGCAAACACACTCCCATAGTATGAGTCGACGCAACCCAAGAGCTCGTCAGAGCCCCATTAGTCGTCGACATTGTCAAGAACGAAGTGGGGGTGACGCCTTCACTGGTCTCTCCGTTCTCGTAGACGGTCGGGGTCCCGTCATCGGCTGAATCACTACCGAAGTTGCGGGGGCGGGGGTGGTGCTGGGTACACTGACTAGCGTCCGAGGATATGGTTGCAGAGGTCACAGAGGTAGGGAATGCGTATCTCATGTCGGGGCCGTCCTTGTTTGCCTTGGGGCTGAGCTGGAGGGTGGGGAACCTCGTTCAGTCCTCCGTCCGCTTTCGTCGACGAACTCACATTACAGGAGTGCCTTTAAGTTGTCAATCCACAATCGCCAGCTGCTCTCTCTCCCAGTGAGCAGGATATCACGAGCTAGCTAGCTATAGGGTTGTCTCTCTGACTACCACTAGGTGTCGGACGTGGTCGTGATGTGAATACAAACCATCGTATCCGCGCGTAGGGATAGAATGGCAAGGGAAGTGCGAGCTTTGAAGGCAAGAAGGAGAAGCTCGGACAGTGTTGTCATGACCCGGGTCTGACCCTGACCTGACTTTGATTCCCAGTGAAAATTGACCCTGTGCAGATCGGGTTTCTCCGGATCAAATCGATATATTTGCCAATTTCCGGCCATCTCCCCTGTTCAGATCGGGCTCCACCGATCCATTTGGCCATTTTTTAGGGTCGATTTTCACTGGGTTTGATTGACGGGGTCATGATTGGTCAAGGGTTTTGTGAGAAATTTCTAAATTAGGATAGCGCGCGCGTCGAAGCAACGTCGAAGAGTGTCCAAGCCTCGCATAACTGCACAATGTACTAATACACGTAGCAAAAATCCTAGAAAATTTAAAATTTCAAGCATAATTGGAATTTAAAGGTTCCCACTGTCAGAACTCTCCTCCATCAAACCACTTAATATGTCATAAGCCTCCATCTCTTGTTCCAAATTCTCAATCCCTCCTCTCCAGAAAGAGTTCATTCCCTCCGAAGGCAATTCTGTGCTGGTTGGGTAAATGAAGAGGATTTCAAGAGGGATGCAGGTTTTCTTCACCCCAGTAGCTCGAGCTGGTGGAGTTGCCGAGTTTAAAGGAGGGATAGTGATTGTCAAGTGTCCACTTGGAGCCTGCACATTAATAGTGGGAGGAATTTCATCAGTCTCATCTAAATCATCACCTACATCCTTATCAGCATTTGCAGAAGCTACACTTGCGATAAGATTCTCAGATGATCGATCAAAATCGAGAAGATCATTGTCCTGATCGCCAATGTTGAGAGAATCAGCGGCAGACTCAGAGTTATCGTCATCAGGTCCTTCAACCTTGTGCCCCAGCCTCAGAGGTAAATTTTCATTTACCCCTTTTGTGGAGCAATCCAGCTTCTAGGTGCATGTGCTTAATATCCATGCCAACCATTGTTGTCTTGCAGACCTTCTCAACCCCTAATTTGCTATGGATGCCTGTGTGAACAAGCCCCATGTGGCTAAATGCATGTTCACAGCCGGCTGAGTTGGCGACAATACTGAGAATATGAATTGCTAATTTTGTGAGGCAGTTGCGGCCAGTTTCTTCACCAGTATCAATTCCTTCCCAGATCTCAACTGGATTTGCTTCCTGACCCTAATCATATTTATTAGGATTATGGCCACAGGGTTGTGGTGTGCAACAACTTACTTTCTTTTTGGCTGTGTCAATCCAATCCTCAAGACCCATGTTTTCTGGAGAGAATTCTTCATGCTTATTGAAGTAGTCCATAAATGCAGCTTGAAAGTCTGCATCCACATCCTTTCTGAAAACACGAGAGTGAAGACGCTTGAGCATATTACACAGCCCAATTGGTGTTAAGGCAACATGTCAACGTGCAAGAACATTGCCACAGAGAGAGGGATGGAGGATGACAGCAGCAATGAAGGGATCTTGATCTGCAGCTGCCCAGCGCTTCTCAAGACTAGCAAGAACTCTGTCGCGTACCCTCAAGTCATCTTCATGACTTAGATTAGAATAGATACAATAGAGGTTTGCAAGAGTTGTTAGGACATGATAGAGCTGTGTATTTGATGCCTGTGTGATGTTAGCAGTGGCTCAAGATGACTGCAAGTCCTATGAAAAGAATAAAAATCAATAAACATGAAATAAATTCAATAATGCTTACTTCTTGATGTGGTACCAGAACTCAGAATCCTCAATTATCTCCTGCACTACTATAGCCTTTGCTTGGTCTTCACTTTTGGTGCCAACACTTGCAATCATGGTTTCACTATGCTTAAGCCAAGCAGCTTGCAGAGCTTTTTCAACAGTGAGAAGTCACCGAAGAGAAAGATAGTGTGTTGTCCATTGAGTGAGCACAGGGAGAATAAGGGCCCAGAACATTTGGTAGGTGGAGAACTGTTCCACACGAAATAATCCCAGTGCATGGCTGTGATTATTCATCCACTTGATCACTATCAAAGCCTTCACAACACAATCCTGAAAGGGAAGCTTGAGAACTAGATAATCACCAACAATAAGATTGATTTGATGTGCCCAGCAGAGAATAATGATGAGCCATGGCATGAGCGCAAGAAGTAACCGTCGCATTTTGCGTGGGTCACCACCATCATCAGTACATGCAGCAATGATTGAGACACTATACTTTTCTTCAATCCACTTGATGTCTTCGACAACAAGTGCCAGAAGGGCTTCACCAGTCTTTGGGTTTGCAGAAACATCATGAGTTCGCATTAGATATGGCTATGCATAGTGTTTAAAGGTTCAGTTCAGTCCGGTTTTTTGCCCCGAAAACGCGCAACTGTGGACCACAACCGGTCCAGGACTGACCTAGATATTGAAAGAACCGAACCGAACCACCTAGGACCGGTCTTTTGCGGTCCATGATACCAGTTCAGACCGATCCAGACCGGTTTTTTTGCGTATAATTTATTATACCAATATAAACCATTTGTATCTCAACCATTATTACTCTGAAAAATAAACGGATTATATAAAATAGTAAAGCATATAAATACCCGTCATTCTACCAATTTTCAAGAGATTTAATGAAGATTTGACATAGCTATGACTGAAACCGAATTACATCTCATAGAGACTTGGGTAAAATATGGATTTGGTTATATCTTTCTCAATTCTTAACCGTTTTTGATGAAACAAAAACCCAATAAAAGGCAATAAACGTGGTTACAAGGCTATGTAACGCACGTGACCGTTTAACCGGTTGCAACCGATTAAAACCGGTCTTTGAATGGTTTTAAAAGATTTTCGAAATGAGGCAACCGGCAACCGGACCAACCCCAAATTGGGGCAACTGCAACCGAAAAAAAGACCGGACCATGGTCCGGTTCAGTTCGGTCCACCGGCTTTTTGCAGTCCTATGGACTGAACCTTTAAACACTAGCTATGCATGTCAACAATTTGATTAGTACCAATGATCAGAGTGTATGAGTTGCTTGCTGCTTACCTCAAAGTCCACACTAACCATTGTTGCAACAATTGCTTGTTTAGCTTTATTCTTCCACCCATCTGTTTGAAAAGTAGCCTTCTGCTCCTTCAACTTCAACTTCAGCTTATCCTCAACCTTTGCAGCCTCTCGATCAAGTATAGGCCCCGATAAAGTTCGACAATCAGGTATGATTGCCCCTGGTATCCACTTTTCAACAAATAATCACATCTCTGGATTGTGTGCAGTGTTCCAGGAAGAGCGAGTCACAATAAGCAGTTTACAAAAGTCCTCTCCAAACTCTTGCTGTCGCAATGAGTTCCATGCACTTACAGCAGGACTTTGAGAACCATCAGCAGTGAAGCTCAACATTCTAGCACATTTTGATGGCCACTCTAAATTCAGCAATGGGGTCAAGAACAGAAGTGGGCTTGGGCTTAGGGAACCAGATGGCGTAGCTGAGGCGCTCAAGCCAGGATTTGGATAAGAAGAACCTGATGACATAATAGTGGGAAGAGGCATGCTAACAGAACGTGCAAGCATTGGAGGAATAGGCAAGGGAATAGGAAGATTTGGTGGGTGGTTTTTTTTATCGTTTATTTCTTGTAAAGCACGATTTCTGACATCCGGCACTACAACGGCACATTTTGACAGGTGTGGTACCATCAATTGGCCTGGTTTCCCCACCATTGGGGCACAATCTCTGAGTGCTACATAAATATTGTAATGTGTGATTCTCGAAGATTAAAAAAAAGTCTGGTAATACTTACTTTGGGACTCCTGATCTGTATCTGTACGGCCACTGCTGATGCCACTGATAGCTGTGCTGAGAATATCTGACTGGCGAAGCTCTTCCTTGTGGTGATTCAGGCATGCAAGGCACCATGCATTCTTGTATGAGTTATTGGATTTAAAAAGTTGGCCATCACTGAAAAAATGGCCCCAAGACCAGTGTTTGTTAGAGGACATAGTGGAATGATGACAAGGAATGGAAACGGACACATTCAAACACTCCAATGACTATATACTTGTCTACAGGCGCGCTACACAACGTTCAAACGTGTATGATAAGCCTCAATCACTATTTCCAAAAAAGGTCTGACCCCCATCATGACCCTTGACCCCGTCAAGTCAGTTGACGTGACTGTGTTGACCGTGACGGCTCTGACCTTGAGTCAGGCTGACTTGTACAACACTGAGCTCAGATGATATAAAAAAATTACATAAGCTGAACAGCATGTCCCTTGGACCTTCGAGTTCGTCTCTATCGCAACTCTATCGAGTGTTTGAATTTGAACTAGAGAGTCAAGCTCATGGAGACAATCATAAAGGACACATAGCTCACCATGACACCACTCGAGACTGTCTCCCTTGCAACCCTGGTTCGAGTCCAGGTGTGTCCTATCACTTGGGGCTCTGGGCCATTCCTTTGCCACAAGGGGCAAACCACATTTGTCGCCTGGTGAAGAGGTAATAAAAAGGAGATAATTATGTTAAATAGTCAATCTCACATTAATGTCGAAAATGTTCAAATAAAAAAGATTCATTGTTATCTCAACTTTGCAGCCACAAAAAGGTGATGATGTGTATGTCAAATATTTATTGGTAGTTTGTTAGTGCAGGAATAACTGAGAAACAAAAGAAATCTTGCCAGGAAAGGAAGATAAAGAAAGACCCTGTTTTACCTTTGCAACAACGATGAGGCAACTATTTAATGACATTGAAAGATCTTTCTGGCCTGAGGGAACAGAAACAAAGAATTAAAATTATCTCTCAGGGTTCCTTTGTTTAAGAGGGTTAAATTTAATTTCCTTGATTGCTTTTTACAGTGCCAAGAAAGACCTTTCAATGACATTAAATAGTTGCTTCACCATTGTTGCCCAGGTAAAACAGGGTCTTTCTTTATCTTCCTTTTCTGGCAAGAATTTCTTTTGTTTCTCAGTCATTCCTGCTCTAACAAACTACCAATAAATATTTAACATACATGATATGACCTTTTTGTGGCTGCAAAGTTGAATGAACAATGAATCTTTTCTATTTATACATTTTTAACACCAATGTGGAATTGACTATTTAACATATTTATCTCCTTTTCATTACCTCTTCGCCAGGCGACAAATGCAGTTTGCCCCTTGTGTGCATGGCATGTTGAGCCTTGATATTTTTATATGAAACATATACAGCTTTAGTGCATGTCACGAGGTTTTATTTACCTCCAATTCACCAATGTCCTTAAACCTTCATCTGGATCAAATTATGGATGCCCTCGGCCAGAGGATAGATTTGTCGGACTTTCCTATTTTAGCTTACAACCGGCATCTACTGGTTACAACCATTCCAATCGCCAGTGGCCATCTCAATTGCTTGAAATGGAAGAGTGTTTGGTTCAAATTGGGTTGGAACCAGGGTTGAGTCCGGATTCAACCGGGCTCCCCATACTAATATAGCCATCAATAAATTTACTGATCGACCGATGAAATGTTAATAAAGAAAAGTGCATCACTCAAGGATTGAACCAAAAACCTCGGACTCGTGGCCTACGTACGCAATGATTACAAATTTGTAGTGCAACATAACCATTCGACTACATGACCTATTAGAAAACTCCCAAGGCCGCTCATATATCCAATCTCTCACCCAAACTAAAACAAGAAAATCTTCCAGTGCTGCAACATAGGGGAGGTTTTCTCCTGTAATTAATGCATAGTATGTGGGGCTCTTTCCAATAGAATGCAAATTTTTATGAAATCTACTGTACTTCGTTTAAGCCATTGGAATGTCGTTGCATTGCGATTGCAACCAAGTGTCAACAAAGACAAGTGATTACAACTGGTTCAAACTCCGACATAATCATGATTGAAACTCCGGCTGGTTGCAACCAGCAAAAAAAAGTCCGACATTTGACCTTTGCATACTAATAATTACGGGCCGTGTGGCGAAATGGCATCGCGTCTGACTACGACACTTGTATGTATGTATCAGGAGATTGCAGGTTCGAGACCTGCCTCGGTCATTGCGATTTGAATTTATGTAGTCGGGTGAACGTTGAACGTATTTTCTTTTACATGCGCGGCCAAGAGATCACAGTCGCCTTATGTCACGAAGCTTGTTTAGGACCGAATCCCACCAATCAACGGGCCTCAGCAAGCCCCCCAAGCCCACCTCGAAGCCACAAGTCTTGCCAATAGCTAAGGCAACTTGCACGGTAAGTATCGAGAATCTGCGAACATCATTATCTTTGAATTCTACCTTACTAAAACGAACCAGGACGAAACTTTGAAGAGTGGATGGAATCGGCTTTTTACCGCTAGGACCCAGGCAGAAGGTGGTTGGGCATTAGTGGGCGACGATGTGCTTTTTTCCGGCGCCCTCAACATTGGCTTTGACGGCCACGCCAGTGCCATAGCCTGCTGCTACATCTCTTCCAGAGCCTTTGGCTACGCAGTTGTCGCGGATTTGATAAGGTTAGATTTTCAGATCATCAAGAAAGAAAGACTGGTGCACACAACGAACGGTCTTGGCCTGGGAGCCCCGGGCCTGGCACCTCGAGCTGCGAGTCGAGCACCAGGGCGGGAGGTAGACATCAACAATATGTTCTCCAGATGATTCGGAGGCGCCATGATTGTCGCACAAGTCATGTCACTTTTTACGTTGTGGCGTTATAGTGGATATGAAGTTGATGTGAAAGGAGAAGGAGGAAGTGGGGAAAATACTACCGGTTGTTCGAAGACGTAGTTGAGTCTAGTTTTCTGGTCCTGCTTGGGTCCTGCTGAACCCGTTGATTGATTTGCGTCTCTGAGGTGGATGTGAAGTTAGTCTGCGGCTGAATCGCGCTGAAACGTTGAAGGAGAATACGGGAAGAGGTTGGAGAATGCTGGGAGGTTACTGACGTGGATTCAAAGCCAGTTAGTCACATCAACTGTATGTACTAATGGCAAGCGCTCGCGTCGCTTAGATTCATTCGCTCACAGAATTTTCCATCGAGCGTAAGTAGGGTCATGGGACTCTGATGATTTAAAAGAGTGACGCTATTGGTAAAACATGATCACAAAAATTATGATTCAGGACTCTCTGTCTGGGACTCGAACCCAGCTTTCCCGCATAACTTAGACATCATGACAGCGACGTGCACTAACCCGTACGCTAACAGAGAACGTTAAACGGTAACCTCTATCCATAGGTCCGTAAGGTTCACCATACAAATCAGGGGAAAAAAAGAGAAAAGGGCTGAGGTGGGCCCGGGGGGCGACGAAAAATAGTGCCTTGAAATGGATTACAATCTGTGTCAACACGAAAAAAGTGAGTTTTCAGACAAAGAATGGCGAAGCCGAAAGTGAACAAAAAGTGACTGCATACAGCCTTACAGGGCGGCAAGAGTCAGGATGGAATCTGTCCGAAAAGACAAGAGGTGAACTCGCGAAAGAATAGCGATTATGAGATAAGGAGGCAAAACTTGCAGGAATCACTCTTCTTGTTGTGAAGGACGTTAGCCCAACAGATGGGGAGAGAGTGCGAGGCACTTGCCCTATTGCAGGGAGAGTGATTGTCTAAGCCAAGCATCACCCTTCCTCAATCCCAGTGACCGAGCTCTTGAACTTGGACGCACATTGAGCTAGACGTTATTGATAGGAAACTTAAACTGCCGTCTTAGCAACATAACTCGGTCACGATAGACGTGAAATCGCGCCGCCAAAGGTGCTTCCAGTGAGTGGTGCATCCGCTCAAACTCTCATGGCCGCTTTAGTCTGCGATACCATTAGCTCAAAAGTCAATGTACCAGCAAAGAACTCAACTTACAAGCACCAACGAAAGCTACACGTATGCCCGATTTAATCCTGTAACCCCCTTCGGATTCTTGAGAGATAATCGATGACAGGTAACGGAGACGCGTAAACCCACCTGCTTCTCGATGACATACTCGACTGCCACCTTTCCTTTAGATCTGTACGCAGTCGTTCGCAGTTCATATCCAAGATCTACAGCGCGTCAATCAAGGGGAAAGCCCGACGAAGCAGGAATCACACCTTTCAAGACTGTGCGCAAACTCTGCGGTGTGGTAGGGATGTTTATGTTGGTTTGGTTCGCGGTGACGCGCCTTTTCCCTGCTTACAAACCCGACCACATCCGGGTTACGCGCCATCTATGTTTCCATCTCCCTTTCCAAGTCGTAAGGATGAAGGCGAACTTCCGACACGTCATTCTCCTCGCCACCTCAGAGAAGCAGACACCTCAACTTGGAGTACGTGGGGGTTTTTGTGACCTTGTTGTGACCCCCCAGTTCCCCAGTGGATGTCGGTGCTGCAACGATGAATGGCCTGCTCGTTTATCGCTTGAGGAATTTGGGCGAGGCTCGAATTGGTACGAGTTGACAGGCGCGTTTACATTCGACAATATTGCTATTGATTCGGGACGATGATTCCGCCTGTTTAGATGGACGATCGGCCAATCCCAGTTCTTGAATCAGCACGTCACTACAGTCCGGTGGCTTTTGACGAAGTCGTGAACATCCTCGTCACGCGCAAGGCCATACCCATCTATCCCCTTCGCCTCACTCCAGTACCCTTCCTCCGACTTCAACGTAACGGCGCCGCTCTGCATCCCTTCCCTCCCGCGTTCCAATAGCCAGCCTACCCACCAATGGGATATTTATTACCACCGGGCCATAGGATTTGGCGGTCCTGCTCCCCAGTGTGGAGTCGGAATTAACGTCTTGGATCATTGGAGGGCGGTTTCGGGGCTTTGGAAAGCAGTGCGTGGTATCACTCCACGAGTATGGAACCTCAACAGGGGTACTCTGCAAGTTCTCCACAACAACTGGTTCCTCCATTCTCCTCAACAATCTCCCGCCATTCTTCACAACTACCTCCCGCCATTCTTCACAACTACCTCCCGCCATTTTCCACAGCTGCTCTTCACAATGATTCAACAGCCGCCCAAACTCGCTCGCTCGTGCTAGGATTTATTGGCAGGCTTTGGGTCTCTTCCTCGTCGGATTCCTGTGTCGGGTCGCTATCGCCCTTTATCAGCCCCTGTTGTGTGTATTACCGTCCTGTTGGTTAGAGGCGTCGCTTATAACACCGTCGTAATAATCTAGGTCCCTTCATTCAACATCTACTCAACATCCGTGTCATCCCGCAGAGCGCTGAATCGAAGACAATATCTGGTATGGGCATTTGAAATGGAACCCCCACCCCCAGATTGAGTGTGCTGCGTTAGGCTCAATCGCATCCGCATCAATTCTACCCACATTCCATCACGTCCTTTCAACTCGTCCGCATCACGCGCCGGTTACTCGACCCATTCTTGAGGTTGGAAGTTGGAACAGAGATATTTGATACAGGGCCGGCGTCGCTGAAGACAATATCTGGATTGTTTGAGGTTCACGGGCGTTGAAATCGCGCAGATTGTCGTGGTTCATCGGGTTCTTTCTCAGGTCAGCCGAGGCCGCTCACCCGGTGCCATCATCATGCGTCCATTCGGCATATTGTTCAGGAGGAAATTGTATCGGTCCAGTCTCTGCCAGTGCAGCAGGTCAGAGCCGGTATCACGTCAAGTTTAAAATGACGGGATTAGTGCCCAGAAGAAGTCAAAGCTACTTCAGATGGGCTTCGTCATGACCGGGCTCACCAGGATTCTCCCATACATCTTGTCCCTCATTTCCTCGTCCCAGCTTACCGAGGCCTCCCAGGGTCCGAGTGTTGCTTTGGATTATGGTTCGGTTTAGGGAAATTTAACTTGAGACTCGGTCATGTTTTTGGGGATCCCGTTCGCTGCACCGGCGTATGTGATTCCACCTGTTCTCGGCACCGATATCTCATGCAAGGGGGTACCGGAAATTGAAGCCATGACCCAAGGTGGTCGGGTGTCGTCGCTTCCCCTTTGTTCACCTTCGTTGGTCCCGCCCCCGCTGTTAACGTTACTTTTGATAACTTCAGGACCAAAGGGATTGTCCTGTTGACCACAGGAGCTAAGAAGTTGTTTGGTTGAGCTTGGCGGTTTAACGTCGAAGATGAGGTTCCTGGGGTGAGTTATTTCAAAGAGTGATACAGTTTTCAAGGAATGAACTTAGGAGTTATCAGGTTTTATTCCTTTACGGCGATATGTATTTCGTGACTCGCAGGGTCTTAGGCTGTAAATGGCTCGTATAATTTCTGTAGATATTTCGAGAAGTACTTCTGATCGCCTAGCAGCCTGCCTGTGTCCAAATATGAGAAAAAATGAAAATGAAAGCTACGAATGATGATGATCTACATTTACGAAGTCATCGTAAGTTGAAAAATAGGGGCATATAGAAATCTGCGTGCCACTTGCGGTCACTTGCGGACCACCTGTTCGCAGGTGACAGCAAGTGTCTCGCAGATAATCAAAAAGGATCACAGGTATCGCAGGTGTCATGCAGATAGATAGTCTACTACAACATAGTACTTAGTAAATTTAAACTAAAGAAATGTAATCTTCACCTGAGAACTTAAAATGTGGCCACTGCTATGCAATACAAGTCTGGAATACAGTGTTCAATTTTCTACACAAGAGTTTTAGTTCTTATTTACTCATGCCTACTCGCAAGTTGACTGCAGGTGGCTCGCAAACATCCATTTTGTGCGCAGATTCTCGCAAGTGTGTCTCGCATTGGTCTCGCAGGTGTATCGCAAGTGATGTGCAAGTTGCACGCAAGTGTATGCAAGTCTCGCAATGGATACTAACTCTCGCAAGTGTATCTTAAATGTGTCGCAGGTGTGTTGCAGATGTATCTCAACTGTACCACAAGCTGAACGCAAGTGTATCGCAGGTGGAATGCTGATTGGATGCAGGACATCTTGGTCATTTCATAGAGCAATATATGTCACCTGTATAATTTATGAATCCCATGAATGAAATGGTTCCAAAATTAGTGAATGTGAGGGAAATGTCATTGAAATGGATTGTACATGTGAGGGAAATGACAGTGAAATACATTATGAATGTCCCAAGAATTTCCTTCAAATCCGCTGACACCTGTCTAATCGAGGAAATTGGGGGAAACACCAGAATCCAGGTTTTCTGGGGAAGTAGTCGGGAAATAACAAGAGATTTTCGTCAATTTCCAAAGTTGGTTTTCCCTAATGTCCCTCATTTGGTATGGAATCAAGTTGGGATGGGAAGAAGAGAGTGAGTCTGAATGAGAGGTGAGACTCCATCACTCGCCAATGGCAGACATTGGCTATTGAGTCCTGAAGTCTCTGGAAAAAAATCGACCACAATCATGTCCGATAAAGAAGGAAAATAATGGTAAGAAGCCGGTGGCTGACTAGTCATAGCCTCAGACACTGCATTACTTGTACATTTCAGCATAAAAATGGTCTTAGTACAGACCTATAGGTACGAACCAACAAGTCAGAAAGAATCAGAGAGATTCAGATACGTTAAACCAGAAGGATAATTATGGTGCTCATTGAAGAAATCTCAAGAAATATGAAATCTCAGCAAGGTGCCCTGATGCTCGCAGATGCCCGCAGATACTTGGCTCACTAGGTCTAATGTGCATGCAACTGGATTGGTCTGCACGCAAGTGACCGCAGATACTTCTTTTCGGTTCGCAACTGGCACGCAACCTGTGTCCGCAGATGGCACACAGATTTTCCTGTGCCCACCTGCGACACATTTAAGATACACTTGCGTACACTTGCGTGCAACTTGCGCATCACTTGCGATACACCTGCGAGACCAATGCGAGACACACTTGCGAGAATCTGTGCACAAAATGGATGTTTGCGAGCCACCTGCAGTCAACTTGCAAGTAGGCATGAGTAAATAAGAACTAAAACTCTTGTGTAGAAAATTGAACACTGTATTCCAGACTCGTATCACATAGCAGTGGCCACATTTTAAGTTCTCAAGTGAAGATTACATTTCTTTAGTTTAAATTTACTAAGTACTATTATACTATGTTGTAGTAGACTATCTATCTGCGTGACACCTGCGATACCTGCGATCCTTTTTGATTATCTGCGAGACACTTGCAGTCACCTGCGAACGGGTGGTCCGCAAGTGACCGCAAGTGGCACGCAGATTTCTATATGCCCGTACTGTTGCTTTTTTAGAACTATTTCTTCACTTACAGTTGACAATTTAATATCCTCATCCTTGCAACTCGAAGTCCCCGGACGAGTAACGGGCCCAAGAAGATGCCGGGCTTTCGAATAAACAAAAGCTGATGCCCCGGCCTGATCAAATACTAAGTAATCATGATCAAGGCAATGGAATTTGAAAAAAAGATTGAATCGATGAATCTCCATGCCGCCTAGATTGACATGCATGACGCCAACAAAACATACATCTCCAACTTTCTCCGTTCGTATACCAGTTAGAACATGCAATTAAGTCTAATCCTTGAGGCAGACCAAATTTGGGTTCAACTACCAGTCGGAGAGCGGCATTGTGTGCAAATCACATATTATTTGGTTGTCAGTTGGTACCAACGATCTGCGAAATGATCCAACCCACCGTCGTACTGTCTTTTTTGAAAAAATTACTTGCATGGGGTGACGCTAGTCGTCGGATGTTACGAAAGGTAAGTATGTATCATTCCCACCTTGACTCTGAATCTTCCTCATTCCATTCGCCAAGAATCAAGATCACCTGATAATGATAGAAAACCTCCCAATTCTAACCCTCTCCGTTCGTATATTGGTAATACACGCGCCTACTTTGTTCAAATGCCTCTTCTGTTCCCGCGCAAAATCAGGGTTCGACTCCCAGACGGAGAGATGGAAGTACAGGTGCATACACCAAGCATCATTTTTTTTCTCCTCGTCAACTGCTTGTCACACCACTAAACCCGTCCGTGGTCGAACAATTGATTTCAAAGAATTACTGCACGATGTTTCAGTCACGTAGCATGAAAAAACCCAGTTGGTACTCATTATTGACCTACCCACCTAGGCTGGCATGTTTGTATGTATGTTGCTCTTCGTGATAGAAAATCTTCAATCGACAACCCCCTCTGTTTGTACATCGGTCTGTGCATGCTTATGTCCATCGATAAAATGGTCTCATGAGCAAGGATCGACGTTAAAAGGTTGGGTTCGATTCCCGGACAGAGAATTGATCGCCCAGAGCTTGGGACCTTTTTTCCCTTGTCGTGCACATACGTACTTCCATTCAAAATAAGTCTTATCCCCGTCACCTAGAACTGCACATTCACCATAGAAAACCTCACGATCTCAACTTGTATGCAGGTTTCAGAAAGATTTCAAAATCTATAAATTCATTTGAGTACAAGGCTGCCTACAAGAAATATTTGAATTCGTATGTTGCCTCATACTTACCGCCATGCAAATAAACATCTGCCGATTTGCAGACCCGCTTCAAGTTTGACGTCGACACCCGGATCTTTCTTCATCCTCTTTGTTGGTACATCTGCAAGTACGCGTGCTTACTATGTGTTAAATTGTCGACAGTCCTCACGCACGAAAGCTGGGTTCGATTCCCAGACAAAGAGATGGAGACACATGCGGAATAGCTATGTTCTTCATCACGGAGGGGCGGCTTCAAGTTTTAGGCAGCGATTGTACGTGGCTTGTATCGTAACGCTGCAGGATGCCCATTCCGATAAAACATCTTCTCCCGCCAAGCCTTGCCCTACGGTGGTTGCTTGATCCAGGAGTCCCAGGACTGGAGCTCATCGCCTTTCAAGAAAATTTTCTGGAACCTCTGTTAGTATAATGGCCTTTACAAGCACGTCTCGCGTCTACCTAGACATCTGCGCGTGAAACTTGGGATCAATTCCCAGACAGAGAGTGGTAAGACGAGCTCGTTTATTTGCTGCTTTCTTTATGCAGATGAATCCTGTTTCTGAATGCAAAACGTACAAAGGAAAAAAAATCTCAGTGCTTCATTGATATCAGCACAATGGGGAGTACACGCCAGGTTTCAGATTTCAGGGCTTACCGGAGTCGGTATATGTACAACTTGTAAGGTCCCTCAAAATTAATTACAAGCCATCAGCGGTCTACTAAAAAGCTGAGAAGCAGGAAAGCGAAAGAGAAGGTTCCATGAGGGTATGTAGAGGACAAAGCGGCGTAAACGTAGCTTCTTTCAGAGGTCAAATGTGATGAACAAACGAAAATAGGGAAGTGAACATACCCAATGACAAGGATAACCGGAAAACGCCAAGGATTTCGACAAAAAAACCGGCGTTGGGTACCGCCTGGTCAAATTCACCTTCAAGATCACCAACGACCCATCCATATCTGTGGACACTCGAAATGTGACGGCAAATCTCCTGGAAATTTTACCGTCACAGGGACGCCTATGACCTAGAGTCGACCGGGAGTGAAGGCTTCATACCCACTCTAAACGAAGGCATCAGAAAAAGGATAGTATGGAAGGTGTGAAAAAAATACTAACTGCTTCGACTTTGTTAATAACTTCGAGATCTCCTCGAAATTGTCTACGTATTTGAATGTGTATCCTACTGAACACATAAGATTGTGTACTGGACAGCTGAGAGTGACTAAGTGTACTTCTTTGGCGTCAGTACGATGTCAAATCCATATCGGGACCCACTCACGAGAATGTACACCAGCGACGACTTCACTAGGATGTAATCAAGGGAGGGAAGAGTTCGTAGAGGCTTGAGCTTCCTTGTGGAATGAATGAAGGTGAGTTTGAGGAATGGGAAGGCCACACACGTCCTTACGCAGACCTCCGCAAAGCCTATCGACTTCCGTCACCCGCACCTCCCTTTCCCGTTCCGGCCTGACAAATGTGAACGCCCACGACCGTTGAAGCTGGTCCATCCCGACCGTCAACGCTGGTCCCTCCCGACCTTTAACCGTCCTAATCTCATCCAGTCGTGCGCATTCCGCCTGCCGAGGATTGATTATATTCAGCAGACAGAATCTATCCATGCGTATCTGCTCGCGCACTCTTAGTACCTCGTGAGGAAAGGCAGAAAAAGATGGAGGGGAGAGGGCAAGGGAACGAAAAAGGGGATGGACAGGAGGGAACAGGATGGAACAGGGAAAGAAGGGGAGGAATATGGCAAAGAAGATGGTTGGGAGATTGAGGAAAAGAGAACAAGAACGTACTTTGAGATCCCTATTCCTCCTCGGACGTCCTATCTATTCTTCCCGGTTGGTGGGTTAGATGGTTTAGATTGAGGCCTTGAGGTTGAATCTGAGGAAGGCCGCCTTGCCAATTCAAATCGCGGCATAGAAAGGCGCAGACTTCGATAGACATGTGAGTGGTAGATGCAAAGCCGCCGGAGGTCATGATAATAGTACAAGAGGCCGGTAGCGGTGCTGGAGAGAGGGAGACCTCAGACGACAGCCTGTTTGCGGAGGACGGCATGGACAGGCTCTAGACAAACAAGGAACAAGCTTGGGAAAACAAACACGACCACGTTGAGTCACATGTCTGACATCTGTGATTGTCCTTTCGCTCCCTTGAGCTTGAGCGCTGAGCTGTTACATGCAGAACTGCTTTTTGTCAGCCACTCTGGTATGCAAAAACTGACTGACCCTAGAGGAAGAATTCAAATCCTTTTTCTCGCGTCGACCAGTAATGAAGGTACTTATATTCCACTTGACTCCAAATTCTGCCAAAGTTTTGCACCACTTGATATTTTTGTAAAATCACCTCAAGCCAGCAAAAAATCCTCCCATTTATAACTCTGCATTGGTACACTGATAGTACGTGCTCCGCTTTGTTGTAATATCAAGTACCCTAGATGCAAAATTACCTGTGTATTGCAGTGCCATTTTTCATCCGGCGGATCTGCGGATCTGGGTACTAGAATAGAACATCACATCCACGTTACATGACCTGCTGAGTTACTATAGAGACATGAAGATTACAATCAGACGCACTATACCGTCTATACGTAGACGTCCTGTTCTAGTAAACGAATGTACGACGGTACTATGAGGGCATGTGTTCAATAAAAATTTGATAGGCTCCGAATAAGTTTATTCTAAAATTTTCACGCCATATTACGATTTCGCAAAGGGCGTTATACATATATAACTTAGTAAATTCTCGTTTCATCCCCTGTTGCATCTAAACATCACACAGCACGGCGGTTGCACGGCGGTCATCAGCGGCTATGACTACACCATATATAGACTTTCCCTTCCTCGTTTCCGTGAACAACATATAAATTGCGCACTAAGGTATTTGCCAGCTCATAACCAGCTCCTTGACAAATGCGCTTCGCCACGACTTCGTTCTTATCGGTGACCTTGGGTCTCTTGGTTTCCTTCATTCAAATTTCTGTGGCCGCACAGGGTCCAATCGTTTCTTTGAAGCAAGGATCATTTCAAGGAAATGCAACGGGTGAGATAGTTAAATTCTTGGGAATGCCATTTGCCGCTCCGCCGTAAGTGATTTTGTGTTTGCTTCTGATGCGTCATCTGATCACGAGTGATGGGCTTCAAAAAGTATCGGAAATTTGCGGTTCGCCCCCCCTCAACCACCACTTTCATCTCAAGGTGTCCAACAAGCAACTTCGTTCGGAGCGGCTTGCTTCCAGCAATCACCAGGGACAGCGCAAATTCTGAACGTCAGCGTATCGACCATCCTTCCGCACCCAGCTGTGGTCTCTGAAGACTGTCAGCTTTCCCCCCCCTTCATAGCTCTTCGGCTCTGTCGTTTATGGCATATTTAGGTCTCTTCATCAACGTAGTAAAGCCAGCACAAATTCCCGCAGGCAAGAAACTCCCCGTTGTGTTTGTAGGTTGTCTTATCCACGATATTGCCTTCGACTAAACATTTTATTAGTGGATTTACGGTGGCAAGTGGGGTTGTATCGATGATGCACTAAAAGTTCACCATTTTCCAGGCGGTTTTCAGACTGGTGACAGTGCTTCAAACCCAGGAGATACGGTTGTGGCTCGGTCAATTGCACTGGGTGAGCCGGTGGTCTACGTGTCAGCGAACTATCGCCTCAATGGTTCGTAAAGTTCGTTACTGGGAACTGGGAACAATATTCATCACCTCACCTTTGACCTATAAAAGTCTTCGGGTTTTTGCAGGGAAAGGAAGCCAAGGCTGCAGGTCTTGGCAATATTGGCCTCCGAGACCGTAAGTGGTCTAAAGGTGAGAGAAATTAATCAAAACTTACTTACTCTTCCATCTAGAACGGATCGCTCTTCATTGGGTTCAAAAGAACATTGCTGCATTTGGAGGAGATCCAAAAAAAGTAACAATGTGTGTCGTTGAAGCTCCCTTGAACTCCAACGCCTCGCTAATTCTTGATATAGCTGGGGAGAGAGCGCAGGGGCAATTTCGGTGTCCTTTCAAATGCTTGCTAACGACGGAAATACAAATGGGCTCTTTCGGGGGGCGTTTATGGTATGAATTTTACAACTACACAGGTAATTCAATAATCGGCCCCTAGGAATCCGGATCTCCATTCCAGCTTAGGAATATTACGACGAACCAGCAGTTCTTTGACCAGCTTGTGATGGATGTGGGATGTACAGGATCAAGCGACTTGATTGGCTGTCTGCGGACTATTCCATTCGACAATCTCGGGGCAGCTGTCAATAAGTCTCCCAACGTATGGTCATTCACCAGTCTGACACTAATTTGGGGGCCTACTATCGATGGAAATGTTATAAAACGTGCCCCTCAAGAGTCGCTTCTGAAAGGTTTGTACGCGAAGGTGACTGATTTTAAGTTTTCGAACGAGGGATCCAATTTGTTAACCTGAAAGTCAGGTCCCATTCGTTACCGGCGATTGTGACGATGAGGGAACGTAAGCTTTCGTTTCAATTCAATCTATATTATATCTTTTGTTGACATGAGTCTTCTAGAACCTTCTCATTCGGCAATAAAAATATCACGTATTTGGATTTTCATTTTTCCATCTGGCCGTCTATAACATTGAAACAGGACCAACGATGAATATCTAAGCTACATAAAATCCAAGTAAGACTACTGTTCTCGTCGCGATATCGCCATTCAAAATTTTGACGCAGTTATCTTCCTGGTATTTCTGATGATCAGTTGGCCCTCGTTGCGGATGCATATCCTGAAGACCCAACTCAGGTATATATGTCTACTAAAATATGCACACGAGGATCTGATTTCACTGTTACACTTAACGCATCACAGGGGTCTCCCTTCGGAAGCGGCACAGCAAATGCGCTGACGTTCGTATCCAATCATGCGGGTCAGGATCTTATTAACGAAGCTTCGTAGTCCTCAATTCAAACGAATCTCTGCGATACAAAGCGATTTATTTTTCCAGGCTCCTCGAAGATTCTTTTTAAAATTAGCATCGAAAACCCAACCCACCTTCGCATTCTGTTTGTATCACATTTTTTATTCACGCTGATATATGCTACTAAACAGTGATTCAATATCCAGCATATAAACGTGGAAAGGCGACCCCGTACTTGGGAGCCTATCATTCATCTGATATTCCCGAGTTTTATGGAAGTGGCGCAAGCCCCGATTATATAGGCACGGATGCCCTTGGTAAGGAGTCTTCGAGGTCTCAGCCCTCCGCTACTCATCATTCCTCAGTTAACTTCGCCAACGCGCTCAACCCAAATACCCACAATCCAAAAAGTTTGCTATCTTCGGTCAATTGGGATCTATGGGGGTCATCAACCAGCGCCCCCCCTTTGCTCACTTTCTTCGATCCTGCGCCTTCAGTCAATATCACCTTTGACAATTTTAGAGTAGATCAGATAAATCTACTGACCGAAGTGACTCTGAAGCTCTTTGGTTGAATCAAATACCTACCTTCACTCTCGAACAGAATGGAGGATCCATTCTGAGGGTAGCACTAGTATTGTTGCTTTTTTAGACTACTTTTTCGCTTACGGCGGACAATTTAATATCCGGGCCGTAGTCCCAGCCATAAATTCTCAGCCTTTGTTGACAGTTTCATAACGGAAAGGAGGGAGGGCAATACAACACCATAAGTAAGTGCTTGCGTATGGCCCGGGAGGCAAATCGGCGGAGGGGCATGTGTAATAATGTTCTCGTTTCCTAAGTGGAGGGCGGCACGGTCGGCGCCGTCTCAGCGCTAGATACACTCTATAGAATTGCACAGCATCAACTCCCTACCCTAATACGCCGACGATGAAAAGTTAACGAAGGGAACTAGAGGCCGCTCAAAAGTTCTCCGAGTTGTCCGAAAGGTTTTTTCTGTGCTCGGCCCCCATGAAAGTAATCGATCTAAAGGGTAGGCAAATATTTCGTTTCTAATCATCTCGTTTTTGGCCGACGCATCTTCATCTATGAAGCATTCAGTACCAAGTGAATCAAAAGCTCCAATCGCCCTCCATTTATAGAGTGTCCTAGACCTTTTAACAGTTTTATTATGAATGATGGCGTTCTGTCGCTTTCACTTTCTACTGGTCCTAGATAACTGTCGGCACTTCATAAACTTAAAGGACGATTTTCACATTGCTAACGAAAGCAGCGAACCATTCGAAACATTTCCGTGAAAGTGTATTCAAAAATTGAATTCCCGAGCTATAAATCTCAAAGACACAACATTTATTCCCTCAATTTGTAGTTCAATTTCATTTGGCGGTCTACATACCCGTGCATGTCAAGTACTCCCCGGTAAACTAAATTTATTTCAACACCCCGAGGACACCGAGAAGGCCTACTTGAGGCAGTAGCTGCAGTGTGTTATGGCAGTCCTTCGAATTAACGGTTGAAAAAAAATTCCATTTCACTCTGTAAATCCCGACACAGGTTTAGCGCCCATATTGTATGGTAGTCATGCGTCGCCCGAATTGAGCGAGGCCCACCGCCGGTGTTGATGGTAGAGACGACAGCCACACACGAGTCAACAGCTACATACACTGCCGGCAGCAGCCGTGACACGAGTTCAATTGTCCGATCTTCCCCAAACCTACCTCTAAAAAGTTGACACGGAGGGCGCTTACGCCAATTCTGCAATCCGAGGGCTTTTGTCAATTATGTTGCGCGAAATTTATCTCGCGCGCGCTGCCTCTCGCGCTGTCTGATCGATCGTGACAGGATGCGTGTCTTCAAAATTGCAGAAGTGGGACATTTTTCGTGTCTTCCCTGGACATCATGTGCCTTCTGTCTTCCATATTTTCTCGGTACGCATTCAGGTTTTTCTTGATTCTAACCCTTATAGAAAAAGAGTTCGGAATGTCTTCGACCGGTGCTCAGCACTGCCACGTTTGGACGTCACCGAGCTGTAGTCTCTACCTGGACTCTCCGGTCAGCTGCTTGGCTTGATTATGCGCGCTCTTAGCGGTGATTGAGGTATGCGCCCGACTTTCCTTGGACAATATGACGATTTTCCCGGCTTCTAGCCAAAGCACCTTGCTTATCCTTCTAGCCAACCAGGTATGTTTCAAAACTTCAGTTGAGATGGTAACGGCCATAGGTCAAAGTCAAATTAATGTGCTCAGCCACCTCCATTGAGCACTCCGAACTGCGATCCGTTGCATACTTGACCGGAGAGGCACGTTTCATCGATCGGGCACTCCTGTTCTACAACGATCTCTTTCTATGATATGAGGACGAACAGAATGATATTTATACGTGACTGAAGGTCTGTTATTCTCATAAAAAATCGTCCTTGCTCTCTACAGCTCATCTGCAGCATCTCCATGTTCACCAACAACCCATACGCTCAGGCAGGTTGGTATAACCCACAGAACCCCCACTCGATTAACGGCCAGCCCTGGAATGCCAATGCGCCCCATCCACCGACTTTCGGGGCACTCCCATCTCAAAGCGGTTCGACGCCTACGAAGCTGACGTTCGAGTTTCCCGACGTTTTTAACTGTTCCGTCACCGGTCCAGGCGGGAAAACCTACCTTAGTATTGTGTCGAACAATACATCCACATTAATTTCCAAGCCGAACGGAGAGCTCGTCGGCAGAATAGAATGGCAGGCCCAGCCATGGATTGAGATCGCGAATGGTGTTGGGCGACAGCTCGTCTCGACGTGGCTTCCACTTTCATCTGACCACAGGTGAGTACACTGTCGCGACCATTTGCCAGTTTGACCAATGTGTTAAGCAGCTACCGAACCATGATTGTCGGTGGGCGCGTTTATGCTTGGGTCCCTCGGAGCGGATCAATCGTCGTACGTGCTACTTCCCTGATCACGACGGCATGTTATTAAGTTTTTCCAGTTGTGCACCGCAGGCCCCAACCCTCCAGAAGAGTTTGCCAGAATTTCAAGGACCTCTAGAAACATCGTATTGGAGATTACCAGTGGAGCGATTCATGCGGGACTTTTCGAGGTTGGGGTTGTTGCGACAGTTTTATTACAATCCGGTAGAAGTTTGGCATAAGTGCATAGCGCTTGCGAACCTATTAGACTTTTGATATCCAACATCCCCCCACATTGGTGTCGTATTTTCTTTGCAGACTCTGTCCGTTTTTCTTTTATTTCAGCCTTGGTTTGTGGGCACTACTTAATTTTCGTGATACATACATATTCCTCTTGTAATACTGCTTGACGTTGATCGTTAAATTTAGGCTTTGACACTGCTTTTCTTTGAAACGGAGTTTGTAGGCGCTGACAAATCAAATTCTCACATCGCCCTCTCTTCACAACGAAAGACCATCTGAGAATGAGTTACACATCCACCCATCTCCTACCTTCAACTTCAGGCTCAACGGCATCGCAAACGGATGGCTCTCGAACACTCACGATCACCAGCGATCCCATAGGCGAACACGACGGGGACGACCAGCGACAAGTGGTGGGAACCCTCAAGTTGCGGGGGGCACATACCAAGAAGACGCAGAGAAAAGCCACAGTAGCTTGGGGCGAGGAGGTGGTGGATAACGAGGGATGCGGGAGAAAGAAGTCTAAGAGTACGCCTTTTGTTCATCTCGCAGGAATCGATTTGTTTGATAGCGGTATCTGTAGTTTGCTGTATTTACCACAAGCCGCGAAGATTCGACGAGTCTTCAGACGAATCTGACTCTGATAGTGATATGTCAGATTCGGGACATGCTGGGCATGGTCACGATCGTCGAGGCTCCTCTGCCACTGGTGCTGCGTTCCCTTCAGCTGCGGGCTCAACCGCTGAAGTTGTGGACACTTTCAAAGACAGAGAATCCAACGCATACGAGTCGGTCCCTAGTCATCATAAACATTCGTAATCCCATTCATCTCACCTTGGACTCCTTTTTTCTGGATGGTTTTGATGATTGTATACCTTCAGATAGCTTCCCACAACTTCTTCGCATATCCTCATTTCAGTGGATCATTTGACGATTCTGTGTAACACAGGCAATACATCCAGATCAGTGAATTTCGTCCCCCATGCTCAGCAATTCCTGACATCTCGTCGATAATATGCTGGCGGCCACTCCCACCTGGTTGTCACCTGGATCGTACACCTTTCTCTCGGCTCAACCTATCTACCACACGTGAACTCGAATGAAGTCCAGTGAAACCTAGTGGACATCTCACTGGCGCATCAACTCCGCGACGTCCCAGGCTACTGACCATTACGCATATTTTTGAGCGGACGACTTTTTATGCCTCTTCTAGTTCAACTTCCAATTTAAGGCAAGGTCAACTCCATATACAACTCAATGCCTGTTGCCAGCTCTCCATCCAACTTTGTTCATCTTGTCATTTTTTATTCAATACCACAGTCACATCTGCCCGCATGAACTGGTGAGACTCTCATTTATTTTTTCTGAGCAACTTAGATTCACCTTGAGACTTAGACCCCGGCGGGTGACATTACCATTCGATCTGTAACCTTGGCCTTTGATGGTTCATGCGTGGTCGCAGGCAATACCAAGGTGCTGTCGCTCGGAATCAACTGCCGGTTCACGCATTGGATCCACTTTGTCAGGACCAATGCTATGGCTGGAAGGTCAACGACGAACGTTAAGACCTTCCCCGTTTTAAAGCTGCCACGCGGCCCCTAGCTTACAACAAGTTCCTGATTCGTTGTCTTCTCAGTGCAAACGCAAGGTAAGAGTGCCTACTTGCGAAGACAAAACTACCTCTTATCCGGATCAAGGTATCTGGCGCCTTGTTCTGCCGAGACAGCGATCAAATATGGTCAGTAAGCTCCAATTAACTTCAAGCAGGAGAACGTTTGCGTATCTAGGGACAGGTGGGAATGAGTTGAACTGTTGACTTTTCTGTCAGGCTTATCGTGTGCAGCTGCATTGGACCACATCGCTCGTCCATGGGAAATGTCTTCACAAAAGACAGTTAGGCAGTACAACGGCCACCACAAGGGTGATAATTGTCATTGTCGCATCAACCAAGCTGTTCACACCTCTCAAGAGCAGCGGCATGTGACGCACTACACAGTTGGCGGTTGATTGACTCTGCCAATTCGCATTCTGACACCTAACGTGAATCGTTGTTATCAAGTGCATATATGTGGGTAAGGAGGCATTGAATCACCGCTTATCTCTCCCTGAAGGCTGAGCGACTTGGGTGGTCAGCAGGACGAGCGCCAAGGGGTGTGGTAAGTATTACGATGTATGGCGTTATAACACAAGGACGACTAGACTACATCAAGCAACTGGCAGCGGAGTTGTCTTAGCCTTTGTGAAGCACCTTTCAGCGGTGTCTGGTTGATTTTGGGTGGCTGTTAACGTTGTTGATCGGTGAAAGGATGGGGACAACCAGCGGATTGAGTGATTGCCACTGATTGTGACCACATGCTTGGAAATGCTTCGCCGGTTCCCATCCACCTTTAAAAATCTCAGGTCTCCTTCACATTCATCCATACCCTCTCTGCGGACTTAACATGGCCAACTCCCCTGACGGTGGTGTCCTCAAAGTAAAGTACCGTTCTAAAACTGATTTGGAGGATCTTCTCAACGGACGTCCTCATAGGACCTAGTAGCTAGAGACGATGCTCTCTCATCGTACCTCCGGGAAAAAGCTTTTACCCTACCTAATATCGTCTTGATAGAGGTCCGTCACTCCTTCCTTGTTTCCCCATAACTCTCAACGTCTGGGGTGTAGCGCCAACTATGTGATCTAGAGCTCATCATCAACGGCGGTTTCAGCCCTCTAGAGGGTGAAAAAGATTATCAGAGGTGAATGTTCACCCTGTTCTATGTCCCACTCGTTCTCAAAAACTTCGCTAGTATCGTCGACACCCTCCGTTTAGCGGACGGCACATTATTCCCCATCCCAATCATCCTAGATATATCTAAAGAAGACATTGAACTCTCCTTGGACCAGAACCACGTGGCACCCCGACTAGGACCCCGAAATTTTTTCGGATACCAGTCGAGAATCGACCTCAAAACGAGCCCTGGTCTACATACAATCCATAAGATTTCTATATTGTCTACAATAACTACTAAAAATAAGCCTAGATCATGTCTGGGGCTGGAGGAAAGTCCAGAAGCCAGACGGTTTCGTCTCAAAAAGTCAAACCAACAGCCACTCGGCAAAACCGAACGGCTGAAGCGGAGACACAGGAAAGAAGCAAAACGAGGGCTGCAGGGGCGGTGGAGATAGACGAAGGCGATCAAGAAGTCGGCAACGCGGAGAAAGGGAGGGCGTACCTCGAGGAGAAGATACTCCTCGTTCCGGAAGGAGCGCAACTCAGTCTGTACGCGCTCACGACAGCTCTCTTCCAGATCGCAGCTCTACCAGGCATCGGTCGACCTGTGATCAATGCAGTCCGCGCGGTCGCCTTTCTGCTACAGGAGGTGGAGACGGCGGAAATAGCAGCTGACATCAGGAATATAGCCAACGAGCAGTTCAACGAGATGACCAACGATTTGAAGGAGATAGCGGAGGGACTCAAGGAGAAGGTAATGGGAGAGCTGGAGGAGAAAGCTGCGGTGTTGGAAAGGAAGACGGCAGAGTTGGTCGGAGTGGCAGATAAGGTGATGCAGCAGGTTGGGAGCGCAGGAGGTGCTACGTACAGGGACGCGGTGCTACGGGCGAACTCTGGGGCACCACTGGACGCGAACCCTCGGCTGGCGGCAAAGGAAAGCATTCGGCAGCGGCAGTCACTCATCGACTTACCCAAGGAGTCCAAGCTGAGGGACTGTGCCAGCACGGTCCTAGCAGGCAAGTTCTCGGAGGCCATGGGCAAGGCGACAGCGCACCAGCATAAGATCAGAACATCGTTGAAGTTACAGAACGGGGGCGTCTTGGTGGAGATGGTCACAGACGAGGGAGCAGCGTGGTTGGCGTCCAAAGCTAACGCAGAGGCCTTCCTGCGGGAGCTAGGGGAGTCAGAGGCCTCGTTTAAGACGAGGTCCTTTAACGTTGTTGCCTATTATGTGCCGCTCAACCTCGATACTAACAGTTCTAAGGATAGGAAAGAGATAGAAGAAGCGAACGGAATGCCAGAGGGCGCGCTAACGAAGATCAGGTGGATCAAGCCCCCGACACGCAGGCGGCCAGACCAACGATTCGCTCACATCATTGCCACCTTCTCGGACGCGGAGACGGCCAACAGGGCAATAGTGAACGGTTTATCCATCTGCCACAAGAGGGTATCGGCAGCGAAGTGCAAGAAGGAGCCCATCCGTTGTCTCAAGTGCCAAGGCTGGGATCACATCGCCGCGGAGTGCGATGTCGCAAAGGAGGTAAATATATGCGGAATGTGCGGAGGGAAGGACCACTGGACCAGCAAATGCGAGGCACAGGGGGTCACCTATTGCACCTCATGCAAGACAGACACCCACACCAGCTGGGATCGTGGTTGCCCGACTTTCCTCAGGAAGGTGGACGAGCTGAATGCCAGAGACCCCGCAAACGACATACCGTTCTTCCCAGCAAAGGAAACCTGGACATGGTCCCCGTCCTATCCCTCGCAAGGTCGCAGGTCCCACCCCCAACTGC